AAAAAAATGGAGAAAAAATACCGGAAAATCATGTCATAACAGCAACATTTGTAAATCACTGGTATCGTATAGATATACCCCCCCCCCCCCCATCAGTACGCCAGCGTTCAGGGGCTCATGTCTTCTCACCCCTATAACAAAACCAAAAAAACAGACACGTTTTCCCATTCTCGCACAATATGTCCACGATATGCGCGTATCGCTATTATAAACCGTATAGGTAGCATGCGCAATGTTTATAAAATTTAATTCCAGCCTGTGAACTTTCCTTTTCTTTGAATGGAATGGTATATGTGCTTTAATTCAGGTTTTTATTATTGTTATGTTCTTTTGGGTTAAAAATACAAACCATGTTTATTCCTTTACTGCTTTTTTTTTTTTTTTTTTGGAGGGTGGGGGGGGGGGGGCGTTTTGGGGGGGCAAAAATGCGTTTTGCCCCCCCACTTTTTTGACTGGGGGGGCAACTGCCCCCCCTGCCCCCCCACTTCCGGCGCCTATGCCTGTCAGTGACCTTGCAGGAACGCCTAATCCCCCTTGCCAAACTAGTACAGACGGAATTTAAAAGAAGGTACGGGTTATTATTTATATTTCTACTTACCTAACCAAACCAGCTCTTTCACTTGATGACTGCAATTGTGACCCCACCAAGGCGCCTACGCAGGGGGGGGGGGGGGGGGGGGGGGGGGGGGGGGGGTTAAATCATAATAAATATAAAATATTAAATTTTACAAAATCCTAATGGATGACCTAAAAAAGATGACCTTACCCCCCAACGGAACGTAATGTCGATCGGTCAAATTTTCAAATTTGTTTTTATTAAAAAAATGACAACTTCATGGCTACCGAATGATGAACGCCAAGTGCAAAGACAATGGAATCCAAGTTCGCAAAGAACATGTTATATAAGTTGAAATGAGGAAAGGCAGACGCCTAAGAAGACGGCTATGATAAACTGAAACCATACGGCGTAAATATTCATAATTGAATGACACACGCCTAAAACAACAACAACAATGGACTGCATCAGCGGTTGTATCGATGGATTTGCACGTAAAATAATATGGCTTGATGTGTTTCATACGAACAGCAATCATATTATTGCATGATAATTTTGGGAAGCTTTGAAGTAGAGCTTTACAACAGAAAATCATTTCTTGATATCAAGAAATAGGAATAAATACTATAAGGCCTATAGACTCTATATTCGCTGCATACATGCTCGCCATCTGCGGTACCATCTTCAGTTTTCAATGATAATATTTTTGTCCAAGAAGATCCAGTACATAATATAGCCCTCTTTCAAGTAGATCCTTGAAAACGTCAATCCAATAGTCTTTGTCCTTCTTCCCATCATTTGATTAAATTGCAAATATTACAAAATAGGGCCTTGGGAATAGTTTTGGATGTAGATTGTAGATATAGCAATATATATATATATATATATATGTATATATATTTTACTAAAGGCGTCATTAGAGGGACATTTGGAGTGAAAAAATGAGTCATTAAGTAGACATTGTCATTAGAAGGACAATAATGGTGTCCTCTTAACGTTTTTTACGTTTTATTTCTCATAGAAGGCCCAATTTGTTTATATATCTCTCTATAAATATGAAATTCCACTAAAGGTGTTATTGGAGTGACATTTTGAGTGAAAAATTAGTCATTAAGTAGACATTAGGGTTAGGGTTATTAGGGTTAGGATTTTTATGATGTCCGCTTAATGTACCATGTAGGGTTATATATATATATATATATATATATATATATATAATGTAAAAATTGATTGCATTAGCAATAAGATTAAGAAGGACTTATTGATCTTAGTTTTTAAACGGATCCATAACCTGGCACCACCATCTTTATGTTCAAAAATAATTGTTAAGGAGAGTTATTATTCATTACGCAACCACAAATGTATTCTTCACTTGGGCACACCCCGGACAAACTTTCCTTAAAATAGTTCACTTTTTATTGGTATCAAACTGTTTAATGAACTCCAGAGTCAATCCGCTTAGCAAGTAACTTAAATATTTTCACCAGATTGATTTCTCAATATTATTATCCACCCACTCTTTCTTGTTATATAATTTTGTGTTCTTTTTTTTCTTCTGTTGTTTAACTTGCATTATATTTCTTTTGTTTAATTTGCATTATATTTCTTTTGTTTACATACGTGTTTTTTTCTTTACATTTACTTATTTTAATATTATGTATATGTTATTGTTAACATCTTGTGTTTTATCTGTTTATTCATATGTAGGCCTATTTGAATGTACCATGTACGGACATGCTGAAAAACAGCTATGCTAAGCTAAAAGTATGTTTTTTAATCACCGTATTTGAATAAATAAACAAACAAAATAACGGCTTGCCATGGACACGCATGATTAGTGGACGTTCACGCCGTTCTCGTCCACTCAATCTAAAGCTATGGTATATCTAAAAGTAGCCTGCTCGGGGGCCGGGCGGCGAGTTTTGAGCCAATTTCGCCCTCAGTCCTAGTCATGGCGTGATATGACGGTATAACTCTCTATGCTAATGGAGTGTCGCCAAATGTGATTGGATGGAAAAGATTAATCTTCTTACTTTTTCAAGGTTTCCGACGATTTTTTTAGACCAATCAGCTTGATTTTGATATATGACAGAGAGGGATAAATTCCGCACTGGAAAGTGAAAACGCTGTATGCGTAGGTAATCTGTTGCTGGGATACAGAGTCTCAAAAACGGGGTTATCGATTATGTTTCCTCCGGTGTTTCCTGCTTCGAATTGTGCAAGTACGTGCATTGCTATGGAAGGGTTGGTGTCAAATTCACTTGAAAATCTTTCTTTCGAGGCCTATTCCGACGCAACTGCTTAAAATTATTTTCTCATATTCTGGAAAATACAAGAAAAAAATAGAGACAATAGAATACCGTTCGCGCCAGCCTTGTATTTTGCAGCATTGCAAAGTTACACCAATATCTTTAACAAAAGAACGGTTTTTGAAGCTTGTGCCCATTGGTTATAATACATGCGTGCGAGCATGCGTTCGAGACTCGCCAAAAGACACCACTTTTCCATATGCCTTCTCCTCTCTGTCTCCCTCTATTGACACTCCTATCTACACACGGCCTATTTTATAAACCCATTGATTAAAGCCTGTATACATACACAAGGAGGAAATATTTTCACTCTGGACTAAGAGTGCAATATCGCTTTCCTCTGGTCACGGAAACAAATCAATAATCCATTCATTGCATTGGTCAAAGAGAATGCAGGACAAACCGCAGCGCGTCCTTTGTTAATTGACTGTTGGTCAAACTAGGGATGTGATGTTTACATGGCGATCCAATGTTTTCCATTTTAATTAGCTAGTTTCCACAAGGTCTGATTCGATTGATGTCATTCGTGGTATATTATCTGACAATTCTTTTCGACAAATCAACTCAGTGCCAATTTCAATACTAAAAATAAAAGCACATTTCAGCAGGTTCAAAGCTATTGAAACTTCTTTTAAAAGCTGATTTCGAAAATCTTTGCGACCATGTTCCTTTACAACGAATATAGTGCCAGACATGCAACATGTCCTATGGATTCGTGGACAACTTCTTCATTGGGCTTAACCATCCCCGGACAGTATCACCTGGACAATTATCCCTAGGATATATTACCCCTAGTTTGACAATTACTTTCCAGACAAATACGTACCGGTTATCCAAACCCTTAAGGTCACCATCCGGACAACTATACACATAGGCACTTACACAGGACATTTACCACCGAAGTGTCCTAGCTAGGAAACACGCCAGATAAAAGCCAACCTAGCTAGGGCAATAATCATCCGGACAACCTTATCCCATGACAATTATATCACATTTACACACACTTATACCAGAAGAGTATACATTTTCTTACATGCATGCCAATTATTGCCTTGCACTGTAGCTATCTGGAGTTCATGGGTTATATTAAATATCATTATATTATATTATTATTATGGGTGATCAGGTTCGAATACACCGGTCCACTTTCATATTGACATTTTATGCATCCATTTAAATAAAAGGTTCTTCTTTACAACCTAAAGGCTCGCCCGACATAGCAACACATAATGGATGCAGAATGGATTCCAACTATCGTAGTTCATTAATTAATAGCAGATTAACACAGAGTACCTCGTCAATTATTTAGGTCCCCAGGAAAGAAACATTATTAGTTGTATAATTACGTTAGTAAACCGGTCTATTTGCGAAGTTATATCGAGAGGTAGCAGCTGTCATCAAGGGGTACCTGTCGTTTTTCGAAATTCAACTCAATTCATTTTATCAACGATATAAAAATAACATAATTAGATAGAAATCATAATCATAAACAAGGCGAGATATGTTGACATATTCATAAAGTTAACATTATCGTTAGGGGCAACCAAAAAAGAGATCGAGATCTTGTGAACTGGTGCTCCTTTTACCAAATTAACAAATTACAAGTAAAACAGTAATAATGATCACACGCAGACACACCCTACACAAACGCACACCCTCTTTATCTTTAACAAGATAAAGAGAAGGGAAGGAGAAAGAGAGATTACAAGTGTATAGTGTACGTATATGAGGTAAATTAACATTATTGAAAATGTGGAGAGCAAGATATATTTATCAATAAAGTGACTTTTAATCATAGATGAATATTGTTCTATATACTCAAGGAGTTAAAAAATATTGATATACCCCAGCTATTGACCTTTTGTACTGACTATAATATGACAAAATACGGATTCACGGGATTTGAAAATGAATCTTTTTTGAGGGAAAGAAGTTTTAGCAAGCAGTTTGAACTTCTCAATTCTTCGTTTCAGGCACTTTGCTTTGCGCTCTTGCGAGCACGATTGTCCCGTCGCGTTGACGTTCTATCGTAGCCGCCTCTTCATGAATATTCATTAGCCACTTACCGGCCTTAGCAACCGTCCTACACAACGCATACACAATAGGTCCCAGGTCACAGTGTTCACTGATTGCTGTTGGTAGTAACAGGGTGTACAGAGCGTAGCAAAAACCATTCACTCGCCCAGCTTGTAATACAGACCGCGAAACATAATAGTTACACGAGAAACATATATATGTTTCTGTGTATACTTCCTTATATTTCTAGCATTTTATTCTCGATATTACTCTTTTATTCTGACTAGGAGTATAATTTGAACTTCAACTGACAGACGGTTGATTTTGATGCTTTGATACGATATTTTGCTGAAAAGGATAAATAAGAACAGATTTATCGAAGCTTGTTCGTGGGACGTGTACTCGTGTTGACCCGGCCTTCATCGCCAAGCCCCAGCCAGCGAACATCTCAAATACTACCACTCTGCAACGCGGCGTGGAGCGCATTGCTGTCGGGACGTCCTACTAGTATTACAAATTACTATGGCAACGACATAGAACTTGGAGTCTTGACGATTTATAAGGGAAACGCTTTGTGACGTTGGAGTTAAATAATTCTTCGTTTTGTACTCAAAATCTTGTGAAAACAGACAATTTTAGCCAAGATGCCTGCTTCGAGAAGTATAGGAACTGCTGGCAGCATCGACACGGATATTCTCAACATCGAATTTCCAAAGTTTACATGTATTTGTGAGATATGCGACTGTGGGTGAGTAATAATATAGAATATAATAATTAAAGATTTATATAGCGCACATATCTGGCTATAACGACACTCAAGGCGCACAAAAAGATTCACTACTAATATTTGAAATACAACGATCAGTTTGCTTCGTTGTTATCTCTGATACATTTCACCTATTAACTTTATTTTCTGGCGATTCTGTGAAACATTTCCCGGATGACAAATTTATTTCTTCTTTTTTCAAATAAAAATAAGTATTATGATAAAGCGGATAAATAACTAAATATGACAATAGTGTTATTTTCTTTCTGGCATTACTATTACGACTACAGAGCACAAACTATTTGCATCAGGTTGATGAATATTGGTGATCATCATCAAAATTGACTGATTGTCATTATGATAGTAATCAACGACAATCAAATTAATTAATCAGATGACCGAGGCAAGAATATGTAAAGCGCTTAGAGAAGGCATTTTATATCAAGAGATATATATCCAGATTTATCACTATTAAGTGTGTTTATGTCTTGTCCTGCATACAGAATAATACTTGCTTTAGAATTAGATACTTGCAGAATCGTAATTCACTATTTTCTAAATGTACATGATTACTTGTACAATTACTTTGTTTACAAATATAATTTTGTACGCATAGGTAGAATTATGTTTAAACAAACATATGTTTACCATGAGTTTCATATTAATAATCATCATCTGTCACCCGTAAGCCATAATGGGGAACCTGCAGATTATCAAAACAAAACTAGATTAAAATATGTACAATGTTTACCGATACACTTGATTTATCTTAATTGTTTCGATGATGTGCCCCATGCATCGCGTCATGGCATATGCTTGTGCACCTATTTAATAGCTCTATACTCTTATCTTCAGTGGTTATTTGAGAATACTGCAAATACACTTTTGGGATATTTAATATCCGATAAGGAATACTTGTAGATATATACCGATGGGGATAATTTGAAGGTGACATCTTTGACAAGGCTGTCTTATTAAACAATTGATTCTTATTATTCATTAATATCAAACAATGACACATGTACCATGGTAATACAGGTATCTCATACACGAACCACTAATCCTTGTCCACCGTTCGACCGTTAAATAAAGTTATTTAAAATGATTCTTCCCCATAATTCACTCAAGTTGATGGACCTGGTGGTTTTATCTTGTATTCGAACCTGCAAACTCAATGACAAACTTAAACACAAAATATAAACTGCTTGAAAATATTCATCGTCCAAAGTATACCATTCTAAGTAATTCAGACTTTCAGAAAAGAAGAATCTCTTGCAGTCACTGCACGAAGTCTTGATGTATGCCTTTTTATGATATAAATAGCAACAACAACAAAATACCTTTAGCCGAAAGTTGACAGTCCATGAACATTATGTTACAGGGTAGTGGTAATAATATTATTGAATAACATTAAAACTATTAATACGATCATAAAATATTTTGAGAAATCACCTGAAAAGTAATTTCAATACCATGTATAGTTTATTACATACTATAAATTGTATTCGGATATCTGGTTACATAATTATTGAATGTTTCATATTAATGTTAGCATATTGCAATGGGTGTTGACTAATATACTGAAATTGCCCCCACCGAACTCGGTAGCGATGCATGCCCCGATTGTTAAAAATAAAATACCAATAGAATGATCTCCAACATGTATGGGTTTCGTACTCTAAACAAACACACACTGTAACTGGTAGCTAAAATGTTAGTGTTGACTTGTAAATTTGTTTCTGTGTGTGTATCACCAAGTTGTCAGTATTCAATATTGACATCGCCCGACTCGTACACAATCACCGTAGTAACTGCTATAAGCCTTTAAGAAAACACACCCTCAATATGGAAGGGATTAATTATTTAGATCTCCCTCTTTTCAACCAGAAGTAGGAACCTCGAGAAAAAGAAACTAAAATAAAGACAAAAAGAAAAAAGAAATTTAAACGACAAAGTGACAGACAGTTTGTGAAAGTATCATAAAATGTATGCAGTATCGGACATACTATTGGGAATAAGAAGAATGTATCTTTGAAATTAATTAAACTGTATCCAGTACTCTCTCTCTCTCTCTCTATCTCTCTCTCTCTTCTCTCTCTCTCTCTCTCTCTCTCTCTCTTTCTCTCGCTCTCTCTCTCTTTCTATTTCTCTCGCTCTCTTCTCTCTCTCTCTTCTCTCTCTTCTCTCTCTCTTCTCTCTCTCTCTCCCTAGGCACTCCCTATATCCCCTTTCTTTCCTTTATTTTTTAATCTCTTATCTAGCTTTGTTACGTCGCTGTTATACTGTAACATGATACCAATGCTTTTATAGATACATTTTGAAATACAACCTCGAGAACCGTAGTTCATAATGATGTATTTTTTGCTTGAATTATTATCTACCTACAAATTATTTTTAGGCTAAAAAGTAACGGGGTAATAGGGAGCACTGCATGGCGGCGACGAATTGTATCGAAAACATGGAAAATATATGTAGCAGAAAACACGATCACGAAGGATGTTCGACAGCCTTCTTTTAATCGAATCATGATCTATATGTAGCCTACTCTGGCATTGAATAATAATGATGATGTCGCTAAATACGACCCCCCCCCCCCTCTTATTTTGGAATTCGGTCTTTCTCTTCGCCATGTCCGTCGGAAATGTCATTCAAGGCAGATCAAAAGGGTCAAAAGAGGGCACCTGCCCACGTTTCCGTTTCACCTCTGATGAATGCAGAGTTCAAACCGTACAGGCATTCATGATTAATCAATCGCAATGCATGTTGGTGTAGTTTTTACCCTTCACTTGTATTTTAAACGAAAGAATTACATCATTGAATTCTGCTCTATAAGGAAAACGTAGTGAGAAATGATAGAAAGTTATGTAAAACAAAAGGAAAATCAATCTCAAATTAATGCTTTGAATTGTCAACTGATTTTTTACAGCTTTTCTAATCATCAATAAAAAGCTGGTGTTGGAATTGTTTGTCGTGATTTTGTCTCATGGGTTGATAGTCGTAAAGACATATGTCAAATACATGCCGTTATGATCAGGAATCTCGTTAAATATCATAATATTGATCTTAATTTAAAGCCCCATACTCTATATAGAAAACAATGCCAATCGGTGACCATTGGTCCCCCATGATCCTCTTTTTCTTATGTTAATTGAGAGCTGAGTTGATGAGATAACCACCTGTCCAGTGACCTTGCAGTGTGGTCTAATCCCTCCTATAAACTAGTACAGATAAGCTTTAATAAATTATCCGAAATGTGTAGTTGTGATATTTTAAAGCATGATTATCAGCTCTGTTGTTCTCCATAACATATAACGCCATCTAATATGTCCTGCAATGCTATTACTCCGGTTCAATCCTGTCCTAGCGGACTCTTTGAACAATCCACCGTCACCGGCCCGCTTCACGTTGCCTAGCAACACATATCCACCTATTCGACGGACAAGGATGCTATATCAAACTTTTATGTTCGGCACTAGGCCTTGAACTTCGCACCCATATATTGATTTTAGTGATGCTCTCTCTTTATGTTACTGTTGCTATTGACATTTTTCATTAATATTCAAAGTGCGAAATCCAGGCAATATTCGAGTGTAGCTTTTCGTCATAAAAGCGGTGCCGACAAACATGTTGTGTTCCGGAGTCATGTCTGTCGAATGTATGAGATATTTTTAAAAGGCTGTTAGGTCGAGTAGACCTCCCAAGGCACAGAGCATGCAAACAGTAACAGGTGATAACATAGAAACGGGAAAATTAAAAGGAACATAATATATGTTCATTAGGTGCCTAGAAGTCCGGAGTTGAACAATGGAAATTGATTTATGCTATGAAAGAATGCAATCATCATGATTATCAACTCGAAGTTCAATGCGAATTTGTAATCTGATTAGAACACACCATAATCATATGCACAAATATATTTCCATTTATGTTAAACTATCTTTGTTGTGGTCAGTGTGTTGCCCATATATGGACCGATACCTAAATGGGGACATTGCAGTTATATCGAGAAAAGAAAATCGCCCAGCCTCCGCTCCCTTCTCTCTTTCTCTCTCTCTCTCTCTCTCTCTCCCTCTATCTCTCTCTCTCTCTCTCTCTCTCTCTCTCTCTCCACTTAGCTTGTCCGGGGGAAACTTGGAGGATTCGGGTAATAAAAATTATATTCATGGGGAAAAGGCATCATGTCTAAGTGGTCAAATCGGGAGAAATCGTCCCTCCTATCTGACAATCCTGACCAGTACCGTAAACTATTTCTACAGTCATAGCTAAATTTCCTTCTTCTTTTTTTTAAAAAATTCCAGACGACACAAGCATCACCATAACTGCAAGAGGAAACGTCGACCAGCCGGTGCCGACCGCCCATGTGACCTTAGCCACTATCAACAGACCTTCACCGCTTATCCCAATGCTCAAAGGCAGCTGCCCCTCATCCCTCCTGCAACGCCCCGGGACCCCAACCCACCAAGAATGGTGTTCGACACCACACAGCGACACGACTTCATACCGACAGGAGAGATTACGAAGCCTCAGAAAGTAAAACCGGTAAGAAAAATGTTATAATCTTAGCAAATAGTAAATTTTTAGCAGACACGTTTGATTTAATGAGCTAGAGTACATGGTCATTTCTAGCTCAAGTCAAAATTAATTGGTTTTCATTAATGTATAAAATAGTACGTTTACAAAAATTATGAAATCCAGAACAGGACTTGATCACTAAAGAACAATGCATGAATGAGGAGATAGAAGAGCTCATAAAAGGCGAGAGTCTGCTGCCACCAAAAATAAGCTATCGGTAGCAAGAAGGGTGGGGGATATGCAAACCATAAGGGGGGGGGGGGGTGTCAGATCGCTTGATCGCCACAGGCGGGCGTCACCCCTGGTAACGTTCCTTTTCATGAAGAATAATTTCATCTTATTAAACTCGTTCAGAAGAAGGAGGGGGAGGAGGAGGAGGAGAAGAAGAAGAAAAATATCAACCACATCAATAGCAAAAGAACAATTCGTCAATATTCGACTTCGTTACCATATGACATATAATAATTTTAATTCAATATTTCTGTTTGATGTAAACAGGTTGAAAATTACCAGCCGACCAAAGCGCCTCTTGACGGTGAAACGGTTTACAAGGTCACGTACCCCGGTCATACACAGTTTCCTCAGATCAGCCAGGCTCGACCACCGAGCCATAAAGACTATCGGGAAAGATCGGCAAAGTTCGACCAACGAACAACGAACAAGGAAGAATACCGAGCATGGGTAGCAAAGCCTTCGGTGGCGTTCGGGGAACTCCCGTCATTTGCAGGTAAGAAACTGGTATATATGTTTTGGCAGCAATGTGACACACAAACCTCGGCAAAAAGCGATCTAATTTTTATAACAACGCATTAAATATATAAACAAAATGTTTATTGTTAAACAAAACTGGTACGTAGAAAAAGGATGAGGAAATATTCTTTTAAAAGGAATATAAACTTGAGTTGACAGGAGTATCGAATTCTTTTCTATGATTAAATAAAGTATAAGATTTTATCTCTGGTTGGTATCTGCGATAAGTTGCCATGCAATTGATATCCCATGAATCGATGTTAATATGATGTAATATCTTACAATTTTTTTTAAGTTATATTATATGACACTCTAAAATGATCTTTAATGTTGATTTTCGAATTCCTTTTCAGGTTCCATCTTGTATCCGGGTGATAAGCAAGAACTGCAGTCGATGACGCAACAAGACTTCGTAGAGCGACCGATTAATAAATCCGAAATGATTCGGTCTGGAGTTGGAAGCAATATCCAAGTGAGAGAAGGTATGTCATCTTCTAGATCTGTCTTCCCTTTTTTAAATGGTAGTCTTCCGGGACACGATTTTTGTTGCCTTGTCATTTATTGTCCGTTGTACATGAGGCGTTATTTCGATCGGGTAGAAAAATACCTTAATAATCAAAGCTGAAGGCAATGAGCGAATGCGCCAAAATATATATATATATATAGCAATATGTTCACTGATAAAGTTAATGTGCATTTGGTTTATAAACGAGTTAACTCTCACTTGGTGCGCCATTGGCTGACGCAGTCTTACGTCAGGCCAATGCCGCCTTGTGTGCAACCCCCTGAAGTAGTTCAGAGTATGTGTCGTTCGCATAAACGTCACCAATTATTATTACTTCTATTCAGCGATACAAGATATAAAGTATATATCGCGCAAGGAAGCTCTCTTGTTATGTGGCGTTTTGGTTTGATAAATCACAACTCAAAAGAGTGAGTGCCACACCTAGATACACGATTCATAATTTGACATGATCTTTCATTTTCACCTTTAACAGGCAAGTTTGACCATAACACAATCCACAAGATGACGTACAAGGATATGGGCCCCGGTCACACAGCAAAGAACGCTCGTCCTAGCAACCAGTACCCCTCGGCGGCACGGAGAGCAAAGTTCGACGGAGTGACACAGTCTAGGAAAGATTTTCCCGGCTATCAGAGCCAACCGTTACCGCAGAAGCCTTGCACACCGCCTCCAGTGACAATCAGGCTCAGCATGGACTCGAAGTAAGTTTGATTGTATATAAACCATTCTACCAAATAAACAAATAAGTTCCTTTTAAAGAAAAGCTCCGTGAAGCTGAAAAAATGAATGGAAATGTAAACAAAAATATTCCTTATTGTTTAGTTTCTTGATCTTGAAATCGTATCGACTCCCTCTTAAAAACAACAAAATATCTGACTTTATTTGAGATCTCAATTCTTAAGTGCGTGTTGTCTACACGGGATTTCAACATTCGATTCCCATGAAGTTATCACATTTATTGGTAGATTATATGCATGCAAACCATAAGAAGCTTTAGGAAAGTATAACTGTCACAAAATTAATGATCGCAAGTGAAGCTTAAAATGTTAGTTTAAACATTTGAATTGTGGTTGACTAAAGCATAGTAAAAGTTTGTAGGATGCTACAAGTGTCTTAACATAATGATAATGACTATGTAATAATTAATTGCATGTTCTGTTTTTTTCATTTCATTAGAATTGATTTCGTGACGGAGAATACGCATGAGTTCCAAGGTCACGACGTCCTTTCGAACCCTAAACGTGCCACAATGAAGAAAGACTCGGACACTTACAATCCACCAACCATCAAGTTTGCGACAGACTCCAGTAATAAGGTAATTCATTCATAATGATTGTGGACTTGTGGTGCTGATTTAAATCGGTATAGGGCGTGGGAGAAGTTTCACTAACGCTGAAAGTGGCAGAGGGCAGTCAATTAATCGGCGAGATGTCTTAAACAATATTTTGTACACCAGAGTGGTGATTCTGAACTGTCACCATGCAGTCTGTTGCTATTCCGACGTCAATATTACCGACAGGACTATTTTTAACCATGAAAAATAAGCTGTAACTGAGTACTATAAGCGATGTAATTTTACAGGCTCCGAGGTTGGAAAAGTTTTGTTAAAGGCCAGGTCGATATGTTGGCTCTCGGGTCGGCCATACAAATTGAGGTTGAGTAAGGCGTTCGCCTTATCTTTTTAGTGACAGTTCGCCGATGCTTACGCTTGAGTCTTAATCAGGGAAACCATCTGGCTAACATCCTTGTCAAGTCGGAGATATTACAAATGAATATTTAGCTGTAGAGTGCATTTTTTCAATAACTTCGGTTTTAATTAATCTATTGTGTAATTTTCAAATAATCTGTTTTCAGGTGGATTATCGTCCGATCGAAGACAAGTCCGCGTATCTCCAACCCAACCGTCGACCGCACACCCAAGGCGGCGCCCGCTCAGCCAAGTTCTACGACCAGACAACGAACAATCGCTTCTTCCGCAACTGGGGCGCCAAGCCTCGCATTCGCTACGGCGACTTCCACGAAGCGAAGATCTACATCAAACCCCGCGGAAAGATGGAAGTGGAAAGTTGGAACAGTTCAACCTACAAGTCCCTCCCACTTGATGAACCCACGCCGAACTACAAACCTCATGACGAGCCGGTTGAGCGATCAGGAGAGCAGGACTTTACCACAATACACAAATCAACGTACAAAGGACAGCGTCCGAAGATGTGTAAGTCACAACTGTATCTGCTTCAGCAAGAGATGAGGAGACGGAAGGCTTTGAGGGACAGGCAGATGAAGGAAGGAGCGGCAGGAAACATTGGCTTACAAGCTGTTGGAAGGACTGCTCTATCTGGTACTGTCTGAAAACCACATTGCAGTAAATGATATTCTCTGACGGTCAAGCTAGGACTCATCCCGTCGGATTGCTCGACCGTTTTGGCAAGAACACTATACACACATCGGACGTCGAGTAGGATAATGATGATAACGAGCCAAGTGAAAGACACACCAACACTGAAATGAACATTGAAGACGCCACATGGACAACCATTACAGTGATGACGTTCGATTCGGCCAGACAATTCACAGGCATACAAAAGGTGTAGTGTCTCCCCTGTTTGAATATCCGATGAACGAAGGATTCTCGCCATTGTACCTTGATAGTTCCTAGGTTCATGGAATGAGTGTGAACGCTGCTTCTGTTCAGTTGAAACAAAAAGAATTCGTATATTATGCGTCGGTCGATCTTTGATAAGTACTTGACTAGACGAGAAAATGATTTAATAAATATGATTATTAAAACCATACAATGCATGCTTCCCAGCAGCAATATAATTTTACAACAATGTTTTGTAAGAAAAATATAAACCGTCCAACTTGAGGTTGGTTTCTAGAAACACTCTTAGTTGTTGTGGATTAAAATAGTTTTTTTTTTCACACAACAATGAGGTTCGATTTTATATCATTCGTGCATTCTCCAAACTTAAAGTTCGCTGCTGCAGTTGAAGACCTTACTGACCCTGTGGAAGTGTTTGACATGATCGGAACACATTATTTTTGTATTCATGCATGACATTTTTTTATCAAGTAAGGAACATAAGACGATAAGCCAAAGGGTCGCGTTTGTAAGTTGTTCGATGCACTCTTCAACCAAATCCGTCCAGCACCCGAGCTATTATACACATCATCTGTTTTCCAATTAAAAAACGAAATCTGTCCATTATACTCGTGTTTTTACAAAATATGCTTTCACATTTTATTTTTCTGTTGTAAAATTGGTGTTGATGGCGATTCTAATGGTAGCATTTTAGCACAAAGAAATATATATATCTCCTTACTGTTTGAAGGGCTCAGTATTTTCCCATACGCTATGACCATAAGTATTACTTTAGTCACCGGTTTAAGGCTTGTACAGATACGGCGCGGGAATACTGCGGCTCTTTTTGCGGCGGTGTACCGCTGCATAACAGGGATTTTTAGATTCTGTTTAACGTCGACTACCCTTTTAAGGCAATGTGACGTCCTTTTAAGGCACTGGCAGTGACGTCAGATTGCCTTTAAAAGGGCAGTCCACCTCCTCGTCGTGCAAAATCTAAAAGTCCTTAATATCTGAACAAGCCTCTATGTTCTCATTTCTTAGATACGCAAACTTGTAGATAGTTAAGGATGACAGGGTATGATCGCACGTGGTTTATTCTTAACGAAGTTTCTTTGTTAAAATGAAGAAGAGTCTTTTCGCATTTTATTTTCTAGGTTTCTCTGTTTTCAACTTTTTGATTTCTATGCAGTTGAATCTCCCGCGTAATTTATTGCACCGATTTTCATACGGTATATTCCATTTCCATGCATCTGTTTAAAGGATTTCGATAAATTTATCAAATTTTCTATTTGATGAACTTGACAAATACCTGAATCTCTTTTGATCAGGTAGAAAAATATTTACACGTCTTTGCTATTGATTCATTTTCTCTCTTTCGGCGAGACAATTCTATTGCTAAAGTCTTGAAAGCTTGTGTGGGTTTATGAATTTGATTTTCTTAATTGCAAAAGATTGTGTTGACATAGGTGTATGAGCTATGCTGATCCAGTATTTTTTCGGCACAATTTTGACCTTTTTCCACCTTCTTTCTTTCTGCTTTTTTGATGGCTTATATCTATTTTTAGATTGAAATATATGTAAATACTTGATCTTGTATCATCTCAATATTGTAATTTCATCTCATTGAATTATTATTTTGAAAAATATTATATCTTATCTGTTCTCTTTGTTGTTGAGTGTGCGAAAAAAGAAGAGCCAATAAACTTGATTGCACTTAATTATTACATACATTAGCTTCAGTTGGCCAGTATTTTATTACATAGTGAGTTAAGTGGGAATACCTGTTTGATAAGTGACACCGGTGTAGTTGTTGATCATGGTGATGATGATGGTGATGATAGTGATAGTGATTTTGATGATGATGATGATGATAATGAGAATGAAAATGATTTCTGACGATGATGATGATGATGATACTGAGAATGAAAATGAATTCTGACGATGATGAGAGTTGGGATGGTGATACGATAGAGGATGTTAAAGGGATCGTTTAACAATGTTAAATCTGAGATACACGGCCCTACATGTTATCAGTGTCTGTGATATGGTGTAATATTGAAGCCCTAAAAAAAAAATGGCTTCAAAATGATCAAGAAGTGCCTCAAAAAAGTAAAAATCTTTGAGTACCATACTCATTTTCCCCAATAGACTGTAGTGTTATGAAAACCGTCAGGCGAACGGTTTTCAAAATTTGTAATTCCAATCATAAATATCTTGATAATCAGACAGGCGATCGGCTTGTAAAAGTCATGGGTTTCCTGACTGACCTAAAGTTTTATATTTATCATTGCATCATGAGCTAAATCCAGAATTTTGTTTCAGAATCTGAGACAAAGTTACCGGATCCCTTTAAAGGGTGTGTAGCATGGCAAATACTGGTTAACGCCATCCGACTTCTTTTGGACAACTGTACGTAAACGAATGGACTTGATTGGTGGTCATGCTACACCCCTTTAATGGTGATGATATTAAACGAAGAGTTGTAATAATGATAATGATCATGATGATAACGAAGAGTGGTAATGATAATGATGGCAATGATGATGATATTGATGATGATGATATTGATGATGGTGATGGTGATGATGGTGATGGTGATGAGATAGGGGGTGATAATGGTGATGACAGTGACCGCTTTGCCTTAGTCCACTCATGTGGCGGTACTGGGGCGATTGGAAATGGTCGGAGGGGGGGGGGGGGGGATACCGTTTTTACTCTGAAAATAAAATACGAATTTACAAGGCTAGGGCTACTGATTAAGGGATGGGGTCCAGGTGTTTTTTCCTCTTCCCCTTTCCTTTCTCTCTCTTCTCTCTTTTCTCTTCTTTCCACCACACGACCAGGGGGTGGGGGGGGGGGGGAGGGGTTGAGGGAAACGTGCCTTCCTTCTCCCTATTTCCACCGCTGATGTGCTGATGTTGGAAAACGTCTTACGATACCCCCGTTATAATAGTTCATCGACATTCTATTGAAAAGTATTTAACAAGAATGAAGTCAAAAGAGGATGTCGGCAAACTTGTAGCCTCAGTCTACATATATTTTGACTGGTGGTGGTGATGATGATGATAATGATTGTGGTGGTGATGATGAGGATGATGATGATGATAATACGATGAAGATGACCATGCTTGGTGACGAATTATTTTCCTCTTCTTCGATTCTCCTCCTCTTTTTCTTCTTCTCCTTCTTCTTTTTCTTCTTGACTTATTATCATTTCTATCATTAGTTTAATGTTGTTATTATCATTATCATCATTATTATCTTTAATATTTTTTCTTTCTTATCTGTCTGTAAATATTACTATTTTAACTTATTAATTTTGTACATGTCTGTCGGGGACCCTACTGGAAATAAGCTCTCGAGCTCTCGTGGGTTATCTTGTTCAAGCTGACTTAGTTTCATCTGTTATTCTTGTATATTGTATGTTTGAAGCTTGACGAATACAAATAATTCAATCAATCAATCAACGGCGGGTGGCGATGGCGATGATGATGATGATTTCTTTTTCCTGAATTAATTTCATTTTTTTCATTGTCGATTATAAACATAATACAAAATCATACTCAAATTAAAAAATGAAAAGGGAGCTACTCATGTTATCCATTGTCATAAAAAAAATCAATGAGAATGATCCTTTATGTTTGGATTATGAATGAAACTTTTAGGCCTTGTACAATCGTAGTACCCTAATATTAAAGCACATAATATGGAAATGAAGATCAACGAACAATAAACAAATTACATAACAAGGGAGAGATACTTTTTGTTAATTATATTTAACAAAATATGTTAATGGTGATGATGATGATGATGATGATGATGTGTAGGTGGATTATTACAAATTACACACAAAAAACATCATAATAATTTGGGGGAGGGCGGCAAGGAGCTAAATCCATTTTTATCAAAATTGAGCTTTTTGTCTTAAAATACATATTTTCTACATGGGAATAAAATGCACTTTATCACATTCTCAAGTTTCATCTTGAAATAAAATAAAAATTAGCTACAAAACTATGATTAATTCCAAAGGAGCTAAATCCATGAAGAAAGAAAATCCATGAAGAAAGAAATATTAACAAATTAAGCAAAAATAAAACATACTTGGTAGATTTTATTCTAAAACCATATATTATCGTTAAAGGGTAAAACAACTCTAATAAATGTACAAAGATAAACATACATTACTAAAGAGAAAGTGGTAGAATAAAAAAGGTGATTTACTCGAAAATACCCAAAGTGGATTTAGCTCCTTTTTCATATTAAAAAGTTCGCAGTGTTTGCAAGCGCGCCCCCATCGTTCGTTTTCTATACCGTGCACGTCCAAAGATCAAAAGGATAGCATACGAAGAGCGGCACTAGAGGTCGGGGCGTGGCCGAGTCAAAGGATACGTCACACTTCATGCATATTCATTATACAGCGCGCGCGTAATACAAACGCGACATAATACTAGTCATAATGCCAGTGCGGCATGCATGTACTTCTCAGATCCTCATTCGACCAAATACAATGAAAACGATTACCGGTGCTCTCAAATTTAGTCATATTTTGTCATAAAATAATGTTCCGCTTGTGATTCATTCATTCATTCATTCATTCATTCATTTTGGTTTATTGTGTCAAAATTCAATGTTAAAACAGTCGGCGACTGATACAAACAAAGATTACAAAGTTCAAAGAAATAAAGAGAAATTACAAATAATCATGTACATCAATATGGAACGATCACATATTAGTTTAAGGAATAAATTAACAATGATGATAATGGTAACTTCAATATATTGCAAAGATTACAAAGTTCAATAAAGAGAAATTACAAATACATGTACATTAATATGGAAACGATCACATATTAGTTCAAGGAATAAATTAACAATAATGATAATGGAAACTTCAGTATATTTCACATCATACATAAAACAAATCGAACTTACATGGATGAGTGGGTAAAAAAAAGGTAACAAAGAGAGAATGGACAAAGCATTTCATTTCCTTTTCTCGTAATATTTAGATTTTGAGCCTTTACATTTTAAACACAATTAACATAAATTGATAGGTAAAATGTGATGGTGATATTAATTGTGATGTGGGGACATTTTTAACATATTAATCGGATTTACATGTTTTAAAAATAAACAACTCTATACTCAAGGGTGTCGATTTGTATCCGTGGTTGGGGGGGGGGGGGGGATGATAGGTGCCAAAATATTTTCGGCAATGGATCAAAGCAACCAAGAGGTAGAAGTGTGTGGCGGGTTGCACCCCCTCCCCAAGCCTAGCGAAGTCCTTGTCTGAGTGCAATTCCCCCCGCCCTCCCGCACGAAGCGCGGAAGCTTTGACGTTACATTTGATTATTACTCTTAATTCACGTCTGAAATCATTTTCGCCCATCCCACGCGTAGCGCGGAAGCTTTCACGTTTCATTCAATTATTAGAAAAAGAAGACGATTCGTTGTACCATTCTCGACTTTTAATCCTTGTCTGAATTCAGTCCCCCCACCTCCCGCGCGGAAGCTTTGACGTTTCCTTAACTTATTAGAGAAAGAAGACGATTCGTTGTGTCCTTGTCTGAGTGCAATTCCCCTCGCCCTCCCGCGCGAAGCGCGAAAGCTTTGACGTTTCAATAAATTATTAGATAAAGAAGATTCGTTCTTATTTGGGGGGCTAGCGCCCCCAAGCCCCCCCCCCCCACCAGAACGCAAGTGACATAGGCCTGTATCAGCTTTTTAATAAAACAAAAATAAGTTGTGACATAATAATCTTTCTCCAAAAAATGTTTTAGGGAATATCAAGAAATAAAATGAGTGAAAAAAACACCAATAAAGATACAATGACGTGAATTTTAAAAAGGGTGAACGGAAACAACTTAACAACATTAACTACTCTCACCGGGCTCTCATCACTAATTTTTCTCTTAATTTTTTTTGTTTTTTTGAGACGGTGAATTATTGGGGGGGGGGGATATATCCCCCCCATCCCCCCCCCCCCCCGGGATCGACACCCATGTCTATACTAGTAAATATGAAGAAAGTTGGAAATTAAGAAATGAAAAGGGCACCTGTAGAAGATCTAAAGAAACACCTCAAGTTCCGCTCCTTTATTAATGTGTTCTTTATATCACAGACCCGACCGCTAGTGCCGCTCATACGACCTCTAGTTCTGCTCCTTTATTAATGTGTTCTTTATATCAAAGACCCGACCGCTAGTGCCGCTCATACGACCTCTAGTTCTGCTCCTTTATTAATGTGTTCTTTATATCACAGACCCGACCGCTAGTGCCGCTCATACGACCTCTAGTTCTGCTCCTTTATTAATGTGTTCTTTATATCAAAGACCCGACCGCTAGTGCCGCTCATACGACCTCTAGTTCTGCTCCTTTATTAATGTGTTCTTTATATCACAGACCCGACCGCTAGTGCCGCTCATACGACCTCTAGTTCTGCTCCTTTATTAATGTGTTCTTTATATCACAGACCCGACCGCTAGTGCCGCTCATACGACCTCTAGTTCTGCTCCTTTATTAATGTGTTCTTTATATCACAGACCCGACCGCTAGTGCCGCTCATACGACCTCTAGTTCTGCCCCTTTATTAATGTGTTCTTTATATCACAGACCCGACCGCTAGTGCCGCTCATACGACCTCTAGTTCTGCCCCTTTATTAATGTGTTCTTTATATCACAGACCCGACCGCTAGTGCCGCTCATACGACCTCTAGTTCTGCCCCTTTATTAATGTGTTCTTTATATCACAGACCCGACCGCTAGTGCCGCTCATACGACCTCTAGTTCTGCCCCTTTATTAATGTGTTCTTTATATCACAGACCCGACCGCTAGTGCCGCTCATATACGACCTCTAGTTCTGCTCCTTTATTAATGTGTTCTTTATATCACAGGCCCGACCGCTTGTGCCGCTCATACGACCTCTAGTTCTGCTCCTTTATTAATGTGTTCTTTATATGACAGACCTGACCTCTCGTTCTGCTCCTATAACCTGTTGTGTATGGTCATAATTTACTGTAGTATCTTCTAAAAAACTGCGTTCTAACCATTCATTCCATAAAACTTGATAAGATCATGTTTTAAAGTTTTGTTCCCACTTAATTTTTGCTCATTTTAAACATTCAACTACATAAACATTTACATGTAAATCAATTTCAACAACCTAAAAAATAAAGATCACAAACAAATATTCTGCTTGGTTGAGTGTTATTATATTGCCATTAAGTTCACATTATAAAATGGTAATGTATCGCATAGATTATGTATGGAGTTTCTAGACTGAACCGATGAACGTTATTTTTTATGTACTTAACAAAGATTTTGTTAACAAACTTCTCCATCAACTCAAATTTACACTGGAAGAAAAAAACTGTGACCTGATAAAAAATAGAATGTGCTTTACCACAGAACTAGTTTTTAATTAAAAGTTTGTTTTCTTTCAAAGATTGGATCAGAAAAAAATTATAAATATGCTACAAACCCTGTGATCAGGGGCGGCGATCCCGGGGGGACGGGGGGGGGGGGGGACACGTCCCCCCCTCATTTTTTTTAGGGGGGGGGGGAATCGTCCCTCCCTGAAAAATTGAAAAAGTGAGAAAAAAAGTGTATATCAAATACTGACTAAAGACTGCAACAAACTTTTAGGCTCTGGAGGGCCCTAGAGTGCAGCGTTTAGACAAATAAAAATGCAAAAATCTTCTCGCTCCGGAGCTACGCTCCCTCGCATAATATTCTCTAAAGTGTACAGTAAATATTCTAGAAAAGTGAAGTGTGAAAAAGGTATATTGCTTGTTTTTATACTATTCTTTTGCTAATTAAAGTATGTAATTTGTTAATACAACAAAACTTCAAAAACCTGTGAGGGGATAGTCACTTCCGTAACCTCTACCCCTCTCGTTCACTTTGCCTTCTCGCCTTGGCGTAATGATGAGGAGGGGGGCTTGGGGGGCAGTTGCCCCCTAATAAAATTCAAATTTGATTTATTTCTAACTCGATACTGTGATTTACAAATGTTGCTGAAATGGTATGGTTTTTCCCTGAGCTTCTGGGGGCTCTGCCCCCTGGACCCCACCAAGGGTCCTATGGCTGGCCCCTGTTTGCTCATCTGACCGTTATTAAATGCCTAAAACCCCTGAGCTTCATGGGCCTACGCCCCTGGACCCCACCAGGGGCTCTAAGACGAGCCCCTGGATGCTCATCTGACCGTTATTAAATGCCTAAAACCCATGAGCTTCATGGGCCTACGCCCCTGGACCACACGCCACTTTACGCTCCACTTGCTATGCTCCATTTGCTCTACCTAATAAAATACTTTAGCCTCCCCCTCTATGAAAAATGTTCCGCGAGGCCTGCATGTACAATGTTAGAGTGGGGATGCGGATTCCCCCCCCCTCGTTTTTGTTCAATATATACGCCACTGCTCCCCCGTCTCTTACATTTCGTCCCCCCCCCCCGGTCATGAAAAGAAATCGCCGCCCCTGCCTGTGATACCACATACAGTATTGGATTGTACAAATTTAACTTTTTCAGCAAATGACTTTAGTATCAAACATAATATGCCCAGTCTGACAATATAAAATATCAAGTATCCAATATCAAGTATTTCACAACAATAATAAAGAATAAGTAATCTATTTCCCTTTATTATGTTAGCTCCCCCCCCCCAAAGTTCTTATGGCTGGCCATACAAAATATTACAACCCAAAACAAAACAAAACAAAAACCACACAATTATTCACCATCTTGTGTGCAGGGTTGGGTTAAAATATAATCGAGAGCAGAAAGAATGACAGTATCATCTTTCTGACGACGTATTTGGGCTTTTCAATAGCTCATGCTAAAATGAATTTATGGGCTATATATTTCTTAATATATATTTATATTTATATCTATTTTGTTTTCAGTGATATTTTTTATATATATTTGTCTAAACTCTTAAACCTCAAATTACAACACGTAATTACCAATTTGACTATCATTATTTTTTTGATTTAAAAAAACAACAACTAAGAAATGCATATAAAATATATGAGATACTGAAACACTTACTGATGCATTCATTTATAGAGCCAACATCGATAATAAGCACGAGTTGAATACTTGTCGGTTGTCAGTCAAAACAAACTTTACAAAGACATGAGGAGTATAATCTTGAAATCACATCAACACATATGTATAATACTCATGCTGGTTTCTATATGAGCAAAAAAGGAATCATCTTTAACAGCGCTCAATGAAACTATGAAGGGTTTGGTTCAATTAAAAAAAAAAAATCATATTTATTTGCTCTGACATATTTCCCTTTGCTTTTTACAACTTCATAGTCAGGCCCTAGTAACTGATTATTTTCACTATGACATGAATTGTTGAAATGAACAGATAACCAATACTATAACTTGTTCATGGATTTGAATATTATATGTTATTCGATGGAAACTTGAATACATACAAACTCATTTTTTGGTTTTGGTTAAGGGCTGAGGTTGACTTTGCCTTTCCAGTGCTACAGCATCAAAAGGAATTCAGGTCGCTGAAGCTCATAGATTTATATCCTGAACATGTCAAATGTACCACTTAAACATATTTTCATAGATGATACAAAAATGTCCCCACATCACTTAATCACATAATACTGGACACTACTAGTTGCAGGACATATTTGTGTCCAGCTATTGTTATGCATGCTGAGTAATAAAGGAGCAAACGTAAATATACTGGACCTCAGTAGGGACATCAAAGGATACATAACCATCTGTTTTATTAGAATTTGTATTTTTTCTTTAATTCTAAAAAGAAAAGGAAAAAAAAAAGATTCTTGTTGTTGTTAAAAACCTGCATTGTAAGTAATGGTCACTGAACCGATTGATCAATGGCTGAACTAAAATTCATATTAAAATTTCTCTTTTATGATTAAACAAAGTATTTTGGACATCTATCCTCAACATCAAGCTAGGGATGAGCAAAATATAAACCAGCTGTTACATACCGTACGTGTTCGAGTTTGTATCGCGCGCGCTGTATAATGAATATGCATGAAGTGTGACGTATATTTTGACTTGACCACGCCCCCGACCTCTAGTGCCGCTCTTCGTATGCTATCCAGATCAAAATGGCAACAAAGAGTGAGATCGAAGACGAGGCGAGTGCGACCACTCCGGTCGAGGAAAAACCCTCCAAGGAATCGTTAAGTCAGATGGTGGACAGTGAAAGTAAAGATGACACAGATCTTGATCTGTTGTTGGACAGTAAGTGCAGATTTTATTCCCACATGAACGTTAAATCTAACGCTATTTTAAAGGGGCGTTAAGAATCTCAGTCCCACATGCTTATTTTTTCGTTGGGTAGAAATGGTTGGGGTGATGTTGGTTCTGCTTGAAATGCAACTTACACGCGGTGTACACGGAAGCGAACAATAAGGGTTAGGGCGGTCGTGAAGGTGAGGAATATTGCCCGTAACTTTTCTCTTTCCAGGCTTTTTTCTACTTTGGCTGGGCATGCACAATCCGGAGAATTAGAATCTAGATTCTACCCCCCCCCCAAAAAAAAAAGATCTGATAATGATATGACTACGAGTTGCCAATGTGATACGAGAGGGCAGTGTCCACGAGAGGGCACTGTCTCAAGATCCAGAAAGAACACTGCAGACTGGATGTTAGAAGTAAGTCTTTCAGCAGACGAATAATACAAAACTGGAACAGTTTGCCAGAAAATATTGTGGTCTTGGCAACAACGGACAAATTCAAAAGACACATAGCCTAGGCCTAGATAAGCATTGGTGGGAGTATCGCTTCGATCTCCCATGACTCCACTCCTGTGCATGCGCATACACTCAGTAATAAATCCAACAGGCTAAACCTACATTATAGAAGCAGTGACCGGGAATTACAGGCCAACGCCTTCTACCCGTACTTGATGATGATGATGATGATGATTATCTTATGATGATAGCAAGTTAAGTATACCAAGGTGCACGCACAGAGTTCGCTGAACTTGGCGAACTCATTGCTTGCATCTTTTTACACGATTTGTCATTGCATTGTGGTTTTTTCCTTAAAAATATCTAAGTTGTGAACCTTATTATTTAGGTGCTTTGGGTGATTTTGACAAACCTCTGCAACCAGCCACATTGGAAAAACCAGAGGTTGCATCATCAAGTCCAGGACTCAATATAATGACTACATCCAAAGAACAGGAGGGTGAAAAGAAGACAGAAAAACAGACAAAAGAGGTTAGTATCAGTCCTTTATTTCTCGAACCTTCTTTTAAAATATTTTCATATAAGATTTTTTGAAGAGTTTCATAGAATTACTTGAAATTGCAAGAAATTTGTAGATTGAGAGAGCAGGAGAAATAGAGGGAGACAGAGAGAGAGAGAGAGAGACACACACACACACACAAAGAGAGACAAAGAGAGAGAGATACTCTTTATCAGTCTCATTTGATATCTACTCTTCTCTGTGCGTATTTTCCTATTGATTGATGTAGTCGTTTTTTTAATTTTCTCAGGGGCCATATATATCTCTAACTTGTATGGTATTGCTAACTTATGTTTCCCTTCTTAGAGGCCACGTCAGGGACCCGTTTCACAAAGCCTTTTTTCAATGACAAATTACAAAAATCAGTGACAAATCTGTTAATAACCAATCTAGCTTATAACAAAAATTGTTATTGTCACTGATGACAAGTTTTGTGAAATGCCCCCCTGGTAGCAAATAAGGGTGTGTTCCTACAAGCTAGAACACAATATTAGTTTTTGAACAGTCTTTGAGAAAGTCCTCTCTTATCCAATACATATTTCCTTTTTCTCTGTGGCTTTTTATTCTATTGATTAATTGTCTTTCTAGGGACCACAACTCCCGCCCAATCAGGATGCGCTCTTCGAGGCCCTCTTCAATGAGAGCCCCGGAGCCCAGCAGTCCGTTGCGGACTTTGAGAACGTCCTCTCTGGTCTGATGTCTGAGCTTGGTGAGGGTTTCGGGGGAGACCCCCAGATGGCCTCCGAGATGCAGAGGATGTTCCAGACCATGGCCGCGGGAGCAGGAGCAGGAGCAGGTGCAGGAGCAATGCCAAATCCAGCTGCAGGGACTCCTGCATCCACAAGTAGGTATTAGGGCGCTTTAGTAATGAAACAGAAGGCAAAGAGGATGGGAGAATTCACTCAACCGAGATCAAATAATGTATGCAGTTCGGACTCTGTCTTTTGAAATACTGTTATTCTTATCAGGTGAATGAAAAAATTTGTATTGAGGCACTTCACAAAGATTTATACATTCAATTTGGTTACTTACGAAAATGGTCTATTGTACGGCGATACAACTCTTGCGTCGAGTCTAGGGAATGAACGCTATTATGGCTGAGAACGGTCATGAAAATCAACAAGACGGGAAAATTCTGGTTCGCACATGCACAGATTGATTATTTTGCTCGGTTACCCTCGTCTTTGCCTTCCGTCATTTTCGTAATGTAACCAAATTTAATGCATAAGTCTCTGTGAAGTGCCTCAATACAAATTATTTCATTCACCTGATAAGAAGAATAATATTTCAATAGACAAAAATCTGAACTGCATGCATTATTTGATCTCGGTTGAGGGAATTCTCCCGTCCTCTTTGCCTTCTGTCTCGTTACTAAAACGCCCTACTGCTAAACTGATGACCCAATGACCCAACATTTTCTGGAATGGACATGTTCTCTACAGTCAGTAGCATGTAACCAAATCTCTAACTTCAACCCTGGACCAAGTATTATACTTAACTCTCATCCTAATCCTAACACTAAACCTAACCTTAAATATAATTGTAACTCACCCCCTTTTTCTTTTAATCTTTTGATGAAATTTACTTTATTATGTGATGTTTTTTTTTCTTTCTTTTTCTGTTTTTCCATTTTTGATCAAATTGCAAATTTCACAAACATATCATATTAGTTCCAGGAGACCCTCGTGTTTGGAGCTGCAATGCACTTACTTAGATTGCTGTCAATTATGATAATCTTCCTTTAACTCATTTTTCTGCAGCTAGCAACACAAGTGATTCCAACACAACTCAAACCCCGGAGGATGTGACTTCAACACTCACAGATACTCTCACCAGACTAGCACAGAATGCCAAGGACCTACAGGTATGTGCCATTTATTCCCTGATACGGCACCAGTGTCCTTTGGCAAGGCATTAATCTTCATTTGCCACACTCGACCCAGGTGAGGTAAATGGGTACCTGGCAGGAATTTATTCCTTGAAATGCTGGAGCACTGTAATGGCAGCTAGGCTAAAGCCGGGGTAAAAATTAATGTGCCTCGGAATAGAATTTCTTGATAGACAGCGCTATAGAAAAGCCTATAATTATTAGTAATATTATTCATTATGGCCTTTTCGAGAGTGTTGATGAGAATGCCATCCCGTACCGGCACATCTAGCTAGGTATGTACTATCATAACTAGAGAAAGGTGTTTAAGATTGAGGTGACCGTGAAAACCGAGGTGGACGCTATTTCTGGATTCTGAGATGGTAGAAGACAGGGTAGACAATGTGGTGCATTCGCACATCATTAGAATGACGTCCTCATGTCACAGTTCAATATCTTGACGTGCCCTTGAAAAGCCCTTATAATAGAGACTTTTAGATTTGCACGACGTGAACGTGGACCGATACGTGAGACATCCTTTTAAGGCAATGTGACGTCCTTTTAAGGCACTGCCGGGCACTGCCAGTGGACAACTAATCATTCAAAATTGTTTTTCTTTTACCTCTTCTTTGCCAGCAATTTTTTGATCAATTGAATTGGATTTTCTCAGATTACTTTTGATTTTCTTTTAATTGTAAAATTAATAATGAAAGGTCTTCCAAGGGAATAAATGTAACTTCAAGGGTATTAGTTTTTATTTCAGAAATAAGCACACTATTCTTGATTTGAGTACCTGTACATTATTATCTTAGGCTGGAGCTAGTTCTTGATGGGTTCAAATCAGCTCTAGAGCTGTCTTCCCCTTATAATTAGATTTAAGCTAGATTTACACTAAAAAATGAGTACATGTAGGTAAACCCAGACCATCAGTGGGTTTTAACGGATGTCAACTATATCCTAACCAAGTACCCCTCGTAAACATACCGTAAATCTCTGTGTATGAGACGCACATTGTTAATATTATTTGTGACAAGTTCACAAGCACAAATCGGCGCCTTCAACCTCACCCCACAGCAAAATGAAAGTCACTTGTTTTTTTTAAACGTACTACAGTGTCTGCTCAAGCAAAAAAAGAAAGAAAGAATTTTATTTTTTTTAATATTTTTTTTTAGGTCAACCTCATGAGTGAGTTGCCAATTTCTGTAGTGATTTTCAAAGTTTTTCATGTCATTAAAAATTCATAACTTTATTATTAGTTATCCGATTTTGCTCAAACTTGTTTTGATTGGTTTATATAATTTTTCTGCTTCTATTGGAAGTAAGTCATTTTTGGAGTGGACTTGCCCTTTAATAATAGGGGTGCGTCTTATACACGGAGATTTATGGTAGTTTTATTTTGACTGTACAGGAGGGTGGGGTGCCTGATGAAGAGCTCTTGAGATCGTTTGGAGGTATGAACATGGAGGGAGACAACGCTGAGCTCCTACCCATGGTCCAGACCATGATGCAGAGTCTACTCTCCAAAGATATACTTTACCCTTCATTAAAAGAAGTAGTAGATAAGGTAAGCTCTCCTGAGAGAGAAAAACCTGTTCATAAAGACATCCTGCCTATAAAGACCACTTTTCTTGTCTCCTATGGGTGGTCTTTATAGACAGGTTTCACAGTATATATATATTTATATATATTGTTTAAATTCATTGATTGATTTCTGCGTGGTTCATCACATTGCATGATATGATCAACATGAGATTAAACAAACAAAGCAATAGACTGTGAATAGGTAGTTACGTACAATTACAGTAATACTGCACGAAGAAAATTAATTATGACTGTGCTGCATTAAAAAAACATTCCTATTAAGTCATCTGTGATTTATGGTGTACAGATATATTTGTTTATTTCTGTTTTCACTTCAAATTCAATGTCGAATGAAGTTCAGGTTCAATCCAGTGAGCTTGGTAAGAAAGGGCACAAAAGCACACTGACTCGTGACTGATGCCAGCATTTTTGTTTATAAAGATATTTTCTTTATTTTTACTTACTTTTCCACTTGATGAGTCGATGCATACTTCATTACATTTCTAGAATATTTTATTTAATATTTGATGGTGATGAAGATGAAGGGGATGATGATGGTGGTGGTGGTGGTGATGGTTTGATCATTATGATGATGATTGTGATGATGGTGGTGGTGGTGATGATGGTCATAGTTACTTTCTAAAAGGAATTATATTATGTTGCCAGTTAATGTTCACACTATGCTTCATTTAAAAATTCTATCCTATTTGAACAGTACCAGGGATGGTTAGATGAAAAGAAACCCACACTTAGCAGTGAAGATCACCAAAGATATACGGAGCAGCACAGACTGATGTCAGCACTGTGTGTGGAATATGAGGCGGAGCAAGATTCAGACGGCAGTACAGTCAAACAGGAGAGAATGGGAAGGATTATGGAGCTTATTCAGAAGGTAAGGTACATAGTTACGGTGGTGGTGGTGGTGGTGGTGGTGGTGGTGGTGGTGGTGGTGGTGGTGGTGGTGGTGGTGGTGATGGTGATGGTGATGGTGATGGTGATGGTGATGGTGGTGGTGGTGGTGATGATGGTGATGGTGGTGGTGGTGGTGATGGTGGTGGTGGTGGTGATGATAATGATGATAGTGATGGTGGTGGTGATGGTGGTGGTGGTGGCATTGGTGATAATAATGATGGTAGTGGTGGTTGAGGTGGTAGTGGTGGTTGTGATGATGATAATCATTAATGATTGTAATGATGATAATGATGGGGGTTGTGGTGATGGTGATGATGCTGCTGTTGATGATACTGATGATAGTTGTGGTTGTGATGGTAATTATAAGGGTGGCACTGTTGATGTCCGAGTTGGTAATGGTGGTGGGGATAGTAATGATGGTAACAGAGCTTGTGGTAACTATGAAGAGTGGTAGTCGGGTAGTGGAATATTCTAAAGTTCACAGCTTTGATGAAACACCCCCATGCTTCCAACTTTGATTGATTGATTGAACCAGTTTATTGATTTTGTGTAATGTTTGACAAAATACAGTGATATGCACAGTAATATACAAAATGGGAAAAATATTGCGCACAAAAAATACAGGGAAATGAAAATGAAAGATAAAGTTTGAAATAGAGGAAGGGGGAGAAATTTAGGTGAAGTATTCAAATTAATTTTATAACAATTGCACATTATATTTACTCAGGTATGAGAGCCAAAATAATGGGGTGTTTAAAATTCAGATTTATTGGCAGTAAATTTACGAGATATGGTTCTCCAAAAAAACTTTGACTGGGCGTGTCATTCACGTACAGGTACCTAATATCATTGGATTGTATAATTGAAATGATTCAACTCAATTAATATTTCCTCAACAGATGGAGAGCCTAGGACAGCCCCCGGCTGAGATCGTTGGTGACATGGTAAGTGATCTTTCTTTTATACTCTTCAAGAAAAACACAAAATACCGACTCGCTTCAAGATTTAGTTGCGAAAAGTATAGAGGAAAACATCTTGAAAAACAACTCTTCATAATATCTCTGTCCATAATTATTTTACTTTTTGTATCTGTAGGATGTGATAGGGACGGTACTACAGTCATGTCAGGTAGCCATTCTGCTAGGTTCAGAAAGGATACCAAGGGGAATGCTAGGGGGAATAAATGTAATTTGGTCACATCCTTAATGAACTTGTCATATCATATGATAAGGGCTTCATAACACAGAGCCTTCTCTTAAAAAAGAGTGGATGAAAATGCACCATTTCCCATTTGTAGTACTGTTTATACTTCATATTTTCTTCATATTTTGAATGTTTTTTTTTGTTCATTTATATATAATTTTGATATTATTATATGTTATGATATTCCATCTTATATCTTCGTATGTATTGTCATGATGATGGAAATAAAATGTCAATTCAATTCAAAATTACAATGAAGTGAGATCTATTGGGATGTTTTTTAAGACAGGCCTAGAAAGTAGTAATAATACTGATATTTAGTCCTGTTTAACCTTTTGTCTAATGCAATTTTTAATTACCCTGGGATTCATACATGTAGTATCATATTATATATTCATATTCATTATTATATTCATGTTTCATCATCATCCAAACATTTGAGAATATACTCATATTGATCCTGATATCTACACTAATCAATGTTTATCAATGCTAATGTTTCTTTGCTTTATGTTTATTACTTGTCCATACAGAATGCCGGTATGCCTTTTGATGAGAATGGCATGCCACGGATACCGGGAATGCCCCAAGGGGACCAGTGCAGTATTATGTAATCAACCAATCAAACTTTTGAAATGACTGGAGAAAAAAAATCTATGAAGCTTTATTTGATCATCCATGATGATTGGACCATCGGTACTCGAATGCCATTGGTGATCAGGGCGCCGGTACGTAATCAACTGTTGCATCATGGGTAAATGGAATTCCATTATGATAGTGGACCAGCGTGTAATCAAGGATTGCACCATGGATACCTGGAATGCTTTCATATGTATCACATCATCTTTGTGGCTTTATGGTCTCACAGATATAAGATTACCAAAGCTGCACTATGATCATAATCATTCTTGGAATCGGGAACTATGAAAGATTCTCCAAGAAACAGATCCTCTAAAATTTGGGACTCGCTTAGGAGCTGACCAGAGCGAATACAACTAGCCTGATGCAATAAATTCTAGTTAATTGGACACTGTCTCCAAAGCGATGGCATAGAGATTGGCTTTGGCAGGAAAGATAGAGGGAAGGAGGGTGAGAGGAAGACAAAAGATTGCTTAGCTTTAAAGAAGAAATATGATAATTATATAAAACGCACAAAATAGAGATGATTGGTGAGGACTGGTTGCCTACAGGTGTATGTCAAAGAGAGAGAGAGAGAGGATGGGAGAGTGAGAGAGAGAGGGAGAGAGAGAGAGAGAGAGAGAGAAAGAGAGAGAGAGAGAGAGAGAATGGGAGGAGAGAGAGAGAGAGAGAGGGGAAGGAGAGAGAGGGGAAGGAAGATTTCAATTCAAAGAGTCTACCAAAGTACAGGCCATGTTCACATGTAGACTTGCTACTGCTGCACCAGTCGCTGTATCACATGCTTCACAAATTATCCGAAATCTTATCTTAAGTTCTGTTAATGAAATTCCATTTTGAGAGAATGTTGCTTCTGAAGTTATTCTGAATTATGAACATGTATCTGTTATAGCTTCGTTGTTTTGACCGACAAAATACATGTATATAAAAACATATTGGCCCAAATTCACAAAGGAGGATTATCAACAAACCTAGGTTTATATGCGTCATATGAATCGTTTTGACGCATTTTTACAAAACCTTCTTTGTGAATTCGGGCCACAGAGTCTTACTGACATTGCATTCTCTGGAAAAGCAAAATCGTACGTTTAAATTGTAAACTTCATGTTATTCTGGTGGATTGGGACAACAGTCAACTATCTAAATTTGGAATCTTCTGCAACTCATTCAGGCTTGTTCACACGCCGAGTTTTAAGCGCACTTGAGCTTTAATACAACACTTCACATTCTTGTATGTTATACATCCAGTGTTTTGTGTCGGACCATTGTTGCGCGCAGGTACTTTTTTCCATTCCCGTTGCCATTCTTTTACGTTTTCTTTTATGTTTTCTGCCTTAAGTCAGTGTGAAAATGCTTTTCTAGGACTGTTTTTATATTTTCTACCTTACCCTTATGGCAGAGATAATTAATGATCAGTCTTAAACAGTCAGTTTAAGTTTCATTTGATTTTTGGTCTTTTGTTTTCTGTCGTCAGATCCCAAAGAGTATATCTTGAGGTTTGTGGAAGATTATAACGTTGTTTCTTTTTAACCAAATTATGATTTCTTATTGTACATCATAATATATAAATTTTGTATAATGGAAATAAATTATTTTATTGAATTCAAACTCACTGCATGTATCCCTATCTTGTTTGTTCATGCCATGGCTTATTATAATTGTAGATAATATTAGATTTTGAAATGTTAGAATTTTTCATTCCAAAGTAATCTTCTTCATCATATAAAAAGGTCTAATATGAATACTAATTATGTCCCATTTATGACGGAGTGGAATGCAGAAAAGTAAACAAAAAATTGCATATCAAAATAATAGTTTAATTTCAAAAGGAGCTAAATTCATTTGTGTAACTTCAGAGAAAAAAGACATTGTTTACCAGATTTTGTACAGGCGTCTATGGAAAAGTGATATTAGAAGGTGCATTTTTCATAATTGCTCCCCAAATTTAGGTGAATAATTTTGTTGAAAGACGGGTACTTGAGTGAGCAATGTTCTGATATCAATAACTCAATTTCATCAGAAGCGGAATTAGCTCCTTTTGGAATTAAGCTCTTTAAATACAGATTTAGACATGCTGAAAGAAAATGGTAAAACATAACCTGTACTTTCAATGTTACTTTCTGTTTACTTTTCTAGATGAGGCCTAAGTCTCTATGTCTTAGTTGTAGTAATTTTATAATTATAATAATAATAATAATAATAGTGAACATTTATAATGCGCCATGTCTGTCAAAATTGACACTCCTGGCGCAGTTGTGTGAAAATGGTATAATTATGCATTTTTTATTTTTCTACAAATGCCCACAGCAGTGACGACATGAATGCTAATCAAAGAAATGAAACATCACAAATTGGTTATTATTCGTAAGAAATATAATTTTCTGCACATAATGCTAATCAATAGTAATAACAATTTTGACACAATCATGTCATCAGTATTACAGTCGACCAATAGGTGGATAGAATAAGATCATTGGAAAAGTATAAACTACAATAACTTTGTCATCCCTTTTTACATAGTTTGTAAATCGATAATTCACCTTTATATTACAGAGAAACATAATTTTTTTTTCAACTTGTCTGTTTTAGAAAGCCAATTGAATCATCATGATAAAGTTTCTCTGGGGCTAAATGAAAGTGACTCTCCTCTTTTGGAAGTAATTTTGATTTGTGTACATGTACAGCGCTTTGAAACTTGCATCACAAGCGCTATATAAATTTTCCATATTATTATTATTATGAATTTTTTACTAGACCATCTCCATGTACATTTCTCACACACTCGCTAACGCTCCTTCTGTGGGCAATGGTGCAATTGAAATAATATTTCATCTGCAGCGGGTCATATGCATAGTGTAGAAGTGTAGAAGAAGTATTTAAAACCATTCTTGCACCCAGTAACCCAATAGAATAAATCCTGAACCTATACCACATTAAAATGAATAAACATGTACATTTTTTGTTTCATTAATACCACGATTGGAAATACAGCAACCAATATTCAGCTAATAATTATTGCGTCTTAATATCAGGTATCTTACAAAACATATTGTGTATGCATACGATTACAATTTTTAAAAATTCTTTCATATGCAAGATATGTATCATCTTTAATCATAACATAGTTCTTTGCTCACATGATTCATACAAAATTTTGTTCATTTATTTAGTATTATATACCTCACTTAAGTAATCCAGCCATCTGATTGGTCGAAATTGCATTCATAAACTTCAACTGTTCCTGTAAAATTCCCGGTAACCATGCATAAAACATTTAATATTTTTAATAACCATGGTTATTAAAAAAATAGGTCAGCCTCCATGGTTACCCCATAGGTTTACATGTTAAAAAATGGTTTGAGCGATCGAGGATACCGTATGTGTGCGAAGGATTGGTCGGTAATTTCAATACAATTGAATCTCGATCGATCTTACCGACAATTTTATCTTGCATTGTTGACATGAAGACGAAAATAAACTTCCAAAAACAAAAAAACAACATCTGCCGATAGATCTTGATCTAAGTTCGTGCCAATATGCATTGGAAAAGTAAAAGAAGGGTCCGTTTAATGGAGCTTTTGCGAAGCATTCATCACGCCGAAGCCGGTTTCAATCCATTTTAATGTATATATTGTACAAAACTGCCTAGCACGTGAACAGCGCGCGATGGACGAGTGGTGTAAGGCGTTGGTGTAAGATTCATCACTCATTGTACGCAAGAGTTCGACTCTCACCTTCGACAAAAAAAAAAGTATTTTTTATTTTTTATTTTTTAGTCTATTTTTTTTCGGCATATAAAAGTATTAATGACTGCTTTAATATTCGAGAAATAGTTGTTTTTATACGCTCTCGGGAAGGTTACAATTGGGCTATTCCCCTCGGCACGCCTCGGGTAATAGCACAATTCTAACCTTCCCTTGAGCGTATAAAAACAACTATTTCTCTCAAAGCAGTCATTAATACTATAATATAAATTTAGGAAAGAAATTTACATAAAATATCAAAAGAGTAATCTTTGGGAATATTAACTATCTAGTACACTATAACGTCATAGAAGAACCCTGCAAGGTAGAAGCGCACAAAGAAAGCAACACATGATCCAAGTACCTGTGAGGAAGACAGAAAAAATTGTTGTCAAAAGTTTATTTAATGCTACAATTGTCATGAACCTAACCTATAACAACATTTTAATGCAAGCCCTGACCATACAGATGTGGTGGCATAAATTCTGACACACATATTGTTGGAGTAAATGCTAGAGAAAATGTCTGACCACCAGAATGTTATTGTTGTTGAGATTTATATGGCGCTCTTCATTCTTCTAAGATTATCAGCACCACAAACTTACCAAATTAATTACAAGACAAGATAATTCCTTTTTTTAATAGTCTTTTGACTTTTGTGCCGGTTCGTTGTTTTCTTTTTGGCATTGAATATCCGGTTCCAGTCGTTATAATGTTATCTGTCATCCCTTAAATCTCATTCACACATGTACCATGATAAACCACTTCTGAAAAAGCTAACAATGCAAGGTTAAATGCAATACATGTAATGGGCTTCACACATTTGTATCTAATAATAATATTAACTAGATGGAACTTCGATTGCGCGCAATCGAAATGATGCCTCCGTCATAGAGCAATTTACAAACCAAAACAGAAGAAATTTTTCAAATTCAAGTTCAATTGTAATCCATTAAAGATGAAATTCAAAGAAAATCAAAAATATGTCAACTAATGTATCACTAGAAACTGGTAAGCTAACAGATGGCCATCGTACAAGTATGAGGTCAGCTACATATCGGGTGATTTATAAAAATAAAAATACAACCACCTCCATAGCAGCTGGGATATACGAGAGATTCGCCAGAAAAATAACGATGTTTTAATGACGTCACAACAGGGACCAATACTGCCCAAGCAGACAACATCCCATAAAGAATGAACATAATTGCAAAGCTATTATTTGTCAAATTATAATGAGTTTAGTGTATATAAATGTACTGGCACGTCAAACCGATCAAAAGGGGACATGACCCGATTCTGATAACTAAAATCTTTTGCTTGTAAATACACAGGATAGGGGTTAATTAACAATCAAAGAAACCAGCCTTTCAAATTGAAAAGCCCCCGGATTGATATTAAGGACGGCATTTGTTCCCTCTTAAAACGCCGAACATACCGCGGTGTCTGCAGCTGAATATACAATGGCGTCTTATTTTGTTTACAAGCGACAGATTCCTTTATTTTTGTATCGCTGCATTTGTCATCAAAATAAAACCATGCGCGGGGTTTAGAGTGAGGCAATAGATTATACATTTAGCCTGGCGGTAGTGAAGTAAGTGAAAGAACTCAAGAGAAAATGAAAATACAGGCACTGAAAATGTGTGAGATGTCATGGTACATCGTCTGCTTGTGCAAATCATGTCCCTGCTGTGATCTCACACATCTCAGCAGCGTTCGGAGAGCTATTCAGGTGCTATGCCGGGGCTGTTTTTAAGCGTTTTGTAATTTATAATAATCATTATTTCGAATGTTTCCAAGCATTGAATTTTGATAACCTTGTCGAATCAAAGTTTCAACTTTGCAATAATGAAAATAAAGCTAGATTTAAAATCAATGAATATCTACTTAAACAGGTTCTCAGAATATTGTGATTACAAGCAATTTCTCATATACATATATGACCCTTTGATCTTTGACCTCATGACCCTAAAATCTACTCAGTTCATTGGCTCTGCAAGATGTCCCGAGTTAAATAGTAATCCATCTGTCAGTTCTAATGAGAATGTGTTCACAAGCTATTTTTGCATACATAATGAGCCCATGACCTTTGACCTTTGACCTCATGACCAAAGAATCTACTCAGTTCATTGGCTCTGCAAGATGCATACATGATCTAAGTTTGGCAGGAATCCATCAATCTGTTCTAATGATAATGCGATCACAAGCTATTTTTGCATACATAATGAGCCGCATGACCTTTGACCTTGACCTCGTGACCCCAAAATCTAATCAGTTCATCGGCTTCGCAAGTAACATACATGACCTAAGTTTGGCAGGAATCCTTCAATCGGTTCTTGAGATAACGCGATCACGAGAACGGGACGGACGGACGGACAACCAGAAAACATAATGCCTCCGGCTACTTCGTAACGGAGGCATAATAATCTGTTTTTTTATATAGCGCTCAATACACCGATCCAACAATGTGCCTAAGCGCTTCACAGATATATTATTACCCCGGTCATCGGATTCAGGCTTACCCGCACACAATGTGTGCACATTTTCCACTCCCATAACGATAAGTAAACAGGGTGCCCTCGTTCAGTTACTTTTTCTCACCTGATCAAATTCATTTACACAAAATCTTTTTAAAATTTGTATTTGTTTTTGTTTAATTTTTATTTTTTTGCAACAGCATTTTCAATATGTTAGTTTACTGCATAAGGTCTGAAGAAGGCTTTACATCTTCTGTCAAGCAGAGTATCAAGCCTTGTTCAGACCTCATGCAGTAAACTACTTCATAGTTTAGTTTTGTTGCAGAGGGTGCCACACAAACAAAGAAGATTTTGTCATTTAAATTGTATGTTCTATCAAATTTGACACTCAGTTTTTCATTATCTCACAAAAAATTAATTTGTGTAGCGCCCTCTGCGACAAAACTCAACTATCCCTTGAAAAATGTCCACTGCAGCATTTTTTGAGGTGGTTTACTTGTATAATGTCTGAACAAGGCTTTACCTATACTGGGGGTGTTTCACAAAGTTGAACTTATCTCTAAGTTGGACTTAACAATTATGGAAAGCCGTTGGCATCTATGAAAATATTTTGTAAAAGTTTGTTTAAAGGCTTAAAATGTTGATTCAAATCATTCATATTTTCTATTATCAAGGAGATTTCATGTTCTTGATATGGAATTTATAAAAAGTCTAAAATACTTGATTTTTCACTTTTGAATATATTTTATTTTAAGGCTACAAATGGCTCTCCATAATTTTTAAGTCCAACTTAGAGTTAAGTTTGACTTAGGATCTTTGTGAAACACCCCCCATTCTAGCAGAGTATGGAGCCTTTCTCACCTGTATGAAGAGCATGACAAGAACCAGGTTTCTTTCATGCATTGGACCCGTTATCTTCAAGACCAGATTGAGGATGGTGAAGTTACTGCACTCCGTCTCCTCCTTGTCTTCTCCTACTCCTTCTTTAATGTGTATCACTCCAACTAACCCACATACCCTCACTGCTAACCTCCCTACAAAACAGCGAGGAAAAAAGAAGAAAAAACAAACAATGTTACCCAATAATCGACAGGATCTATGTGATTCCTTTCTAGGCCCTGTTTCATAAAACAAGTAATCCACAACAATGTCTTCTCCCACTCTTTCCTTAATGTGTACTATTCCAACTAAATCACATACCCTCACTGCTTACCTCCCTACAAAACAGAAGAAGAATAGATGATACCAATGTTAAAGATAAACTTGAGTTCCGGTAAAAAAATAAAATAAATTTTCACAGAATCAAACGAAACTTACACTCAATGTGCAAGATTCCAAATAAATGTCATTTGCCAAACAATTTTGGTAGAAAATGTATACCGGCTGAGTAATGAGCATAGAAAGATAAGGAAATCAAGGTAAGTAGCCCCGAAACCATTTGTGTAGTCCCATATACATCTTTCTGTGTACAGTGCTTGTTACTTTACCAAGACTGGGCCAAATTTCTTATCATGTTGATGACTCCAGAACCTTCAGTACACACCAATACTTACATGCTACATGATCAACTTTTTCTGATCCATTTCACACCTTTTCTTTCACAATGCAATCGCATGACCAGAACTCATCGTTATCTTTAACCCATAGCCTTCTAGATCCAGGAGATTCCTTCCAGATAACTGTTCTATTTAAAGCTACTGAAATCGTGGCATTTGATTGGTTATCAGCAGATTTTTCACTGATTTTTGTCATTGAAAAAAGGCTTTGTGAAACAGGTCCCTGGTGATTCCTTTCTGGGCCCTGCTTCATGAAACAAGTTATCCAAAACAAGTTACAATAACTGTTATAAGCTACTGAAACCGTGGCTTTTGATTGGTTGAGAGCTAATTTCACATATAAATTTAGCATTTGTTATTGAGAACAAGTTTCATGAAACAGGGCCCTGACGCTTACGGGAATGAAAGAATTTCATAACCAATAGGTAAATAAATGAACACTGTGAAGCTTTCACAATACTTCTCTGAATGCCAATAATGTGGACTCAAAACTTTATTGAAGAGTGCCAGTGGATACATTTTCCACAAGCCAATTGGTATTAACAAATTGTCATGAAGAGTACAAAGTACATGATCAGAAGGATGGCATCCATATTTTTGCATTGTTGGAGACGTACTAAGCCAGGAGCAAGACCCAGAAGTCCCATAAAATAATGTGACCTAACTCTATTTGCTTGAACAGTTGATATAAACTCACCTATAAAGCCAAGGTTCTTCATCTTAAATCTTGTATAGCTCATTCCTAGGGTATCTGTATCAGGATTGAACCTAGAATAAGAAGATATTCAAGCTGTCAAAACACATTCAATAGCACTACACTGTAAGTCCACATCAGACAGAGAACAAAATATATAATGCACAGCTCACCCAACTGTCAAAATGAGGTCTGGATTTCTCATTCATCTTACTTTGCCCATTACTAAGTTATTCTGCCATATCACGTTTGTATGTATCATTATTAATACAGTATTAATACTGATGAGGCTACCCTGTGTAAACAAGACATTTTATTATGATTAAAATCATTTACTTGTAGTATAGAACATTCAGTGTAAATTGATTCTGTGTTCATATTTTCTGTCATTACCAGAAACTGAGATTACCTTTTATCCTGTTGAAGATGGTCTCATTTTCATACAAGGTGCATATTTAATGTGTTTACCGGTAACTAAAAGTTTTATTTCACCTTGTTTCAAATTTAACAATTTACAGTTTTGGGGAAACGTATGTTTGGGAGTAGGTGTTTCACCAGACTACTGCATATTGGTGCAATTCCAATGTTTGGTTAACCTCCCTCCACGCCGTGTACTTACTTTGGCAGTCTATGCCGGGGGCAGGGCACAAAATGGAAGAGCTGAGGGACGGAGAAGACAAAGTTGATGACTTGCGGGATGAAGAAGAGAAGCATGGTCTTGCTGAAGTGACCTAAGATGGCTACCACGGCAAAGGTCATGCCAGCGAAGTAGCAGAAGGTGTCCCCCACGAAGGCCCTTGAGGGATACCTGGAAGACAATAAGGATTGCAGCATGTTGTAACTTATCTTCATCAAGTAATAGATGTTACATAAATTAATTTTAAAAGTTGTTTTGAAGCTGAGCCAAGTCCAAACATCAGAGGAACAAGATTTTGTTCAATTATTTTATTGTTTCCATGAACAAAAATAACTGTTTTTTTTTCTTCTTCATATAAAGTCTTCTTTCAATATCTCTCAAAGCATTAAACAGTATTAGCAAATATACAATAGAACAAACACAAACAAAACACATGTAACAATGACAAGGAATACACAAATATGAGGTAAAATAATAAAAGGATAGAAACCATCGGCTTTTGCCTGGGAATTACCAAACAAAATCTTGTAAGGTTCTACTCATTAGCTGATAGTGTAAGATTGATGAAAGTTTGAAAAAAAAATGATATCTGAAAGTTGTAATCACAATACAAATGGGAATTTAAAATTGGTGAAAAGTGAGTGAGCTTGCTTTACGTCCTAGAAAAATAGGGCAAAGGCAATTAAAATTGCCTTCACTAAGCAATTAACCAACTGAAAACTAAGCCTAAAATAGCTTGGCCTGGTGCTAATGAAGAAATTTACATTATATCATTCCACTGGGATACATTATGGACTTGGTGTCAAACCAAGGATCTCCCAGTACCAGGACCTATGAATACTTAAAGGGAGATGGTCCTGAGTTTCCATGTGTGGTAGGTGATAATTTGTTGACACCAGTCTTGGTGGAAATACCATTTACGTATATACAAGTCTAGCAAACAGCAAACCTGTGGTTCCATCAAGATATAACCGCTAGTCTCCTGGAGAGTCTTCTGATTAGGGAAATGTGAGGTAAATAGGTATGGGGTGATTGGGTAGAAAATGCAGACTGTTAAATAAGGCCTGTTGGTTTTTAAAACTGAAGGCTAATTCCTGGTGATTGACAACACCTGGGGCGGTATTCTGAACCCTGTGTTATCTCTAATATTGTTGTATCTTTGGAGATAAGATAAAGTTGGTATTCTGAACACTGTTGTAAGTTTTGTGTTATCTTTTGTTGTATCTTTTCTCTCATCTCATTGGCCGCGCCTGCGCTCATAGTTTGGTGCGCTTGTAATTGTGCGTATTATTAATAAAGTGGCGTTTAATCCTCATTTGCATATGCGCACGAGAGATAATATGTCGAGATAATTGGTATTCTGAAAGTTGTTGTATCTTTTATCTTATCTTATCTTGCATGGTATTTACAACAATATTTACAACAGGTAGGGGGTTGTTGTATCTTTCGTGGTGACATAATGGCGGCAATATTTCTTGCCCAGAACCGACTTCGTGTCAATAGACGACTTAGAAGAAGATTTTGTGTTGACCGGAAACATCACAGATGAGAACTTTCTAAGAAATTAAATGCTAGGATATGACGATTTTAATGCTCTCATCTTAACCAATATAGTGAAAGCGTGACTTGTCTTCATGATCCACATTCAACAGCGCCTAATGATGACGTGCGTAATAAGCACTCAAATAACTAGTTACGCCCAAGATTAGTATGCGCTAGGCGCATCTTCAGATATGGCATACAGTATTCCTATTGGTTGGCCTACTTATCATGCTTATATAAAACAGATTTTGATTGGTAGGGTCCATACAAATGGGCGTGTCAACAGTGGTCAAAGATAAGATAGAGGCGGTCCTTCAAGAGATAACACAGGGATAAAATGATGTTCAGAATACCAACTTACAACAATATTAGCGCTGTGTTATCTCTGGAAGATACAACAAAAGATAACACAAAACTTACAACAATGTTCAGAATACCACCCCTGTTGTCGGGTACCCGTAGACACTCGGATGGTGTCGATTTCCCCATGAGAGCCCACTACTATAAGCTAACATTTCTCATCATTTATGCTTTTTGATCAAAGCTTGAATTAGATGCTTTCCAACATTCCTAGAAAAACTCACCAATTATGATAAAGGAGAGCCAGGCAGACAGCACAGAATGGCATCATGAAGTACAAAGAGAATAGATGAGCTTCACTCCAATTTCCTAGAAAGAGATCATAATAATAATAATAGTATGTCTTGTTTACCCAGGGTAGCCTCATCAGTATTCATACTGTTCTCTCTGAGGGCCCTGCACTCATATAATTACCCCGGCTTTAGTATAACTGAATGTACCATGATAAGGTGCTCAAGCATTTTTCCTACGGGATAATCAACAAATTCTTGACATAAAGTCCGGAACTGTGTCTTTTCATCTGAAAAGAGAGGCTTGTACTCTCCAGAGAAAGTCAAGTTTTATTCACTCTGTGCCTGAAAACTCAAAGAAAAGCTGAGAATGTAGACCTAAAAGTGATTCTCAATATGTCCCACGGTTCTTCAAGTGGGACGATATTAAATGCGATTGTGCTAATTGATGATAGCAAACTATATTTGAATTGAAATTTGCTTGTCAACTAATTGTTGCCAATTTAAAGAAGAAACAAATCAATCTATGCCTACAAAGAGCAAACTACTTGTAAATCTCAAATTAAAAATTGAATTGATTCACCATTTTTCCTGCATACCTGATAACTGGACGATATTGAAGATGATAACACTGATACAGATGACCGCTGACTGACCGCATTCCAAGCCATTCACTCCAGCCAAGATGTTGATTGCATTGGTGCAGAAGACGGCTAACATCCCCATATAGATGTAGTACAAGACTCCTACATACAAAAGATGGATCACATTGTATATTGATGTACAGAAAGGATAGATAATGAACGGTTAAGGTGCAGAAGACAGATAACTTCCCCATGTAGATGTAGTACAAGACTCCTACATAAAAAAGATGGATCACATTGTATATTGATGTACAGAAAGAAAAGTTGCCGAACATTGATATTGCAGATGACATTTTCAGCTCCGACAGCACTAAAAGGGTTAAACAGTTATAAGAGAACTTTAACTATGATTTCTTATACTGTGCAAAACATTGTTTATTGAGTAGTGACTAGTCATATTCATATGAAGTGTTGTAGTCGAGTGGTTTAAGCACTTGACTTGAAATTCAATGGTCATGGTTCAATCCCCAACACGGCACTAATGTCCTTTGCAAAGGCAGTAATCTTCATTTGCCACACTCAACCCAGGTAAGGTAAATAAGAACCTGGCAGGAATTAGTTCCTTGAAATGCTGGAGCGCTGTAATGGCAGCTAGGCTAAAGCCGGGGTAATAATTAGTGCCCCTTGGAATAGAATTTGTAGATAGACGGCGCTATAGAAATGCCTATTATTATTATTATAGTTATGTATCTGACAAGAGAAAGTTATTATTAATGTTGTTTATACTCTGTACACTCATGTGGACATGTCCCTTTTTGCTGAAAGTTTATCAGATTTAATCATCCACTTACCAAGGTTAATATCATTGCCGATGTATGCATTGAGTGGTTTTGGGACCATGATAGTGGTAGAGCCATAGTTGACGACGTAGACCATGAGCAAGGGCAAGGTCGCCATCGTGGGAAGCTGGAGCTTGTGGCGCCATCTTAGGTCCAAGACATCGTCAGCGAAGCCAAGGAATATCATGCAGCATATAGACAGAAGGGCTGCGATGAACTCTACAAACTGAAATGTTGGAAGAGCAAAATATGTTATATTAAAGATTGTTGTTGAATTTTATTGGGGGGGGGGGGGCTCTTGACAAAAATAATCTACACTTCTAAAGTGTTTCTAACATCAAAATACTTATTAAAGAGACAGTCTGATTGAAATATAGCTCTCTTAAAAAAAATATCAAAGTTTGTAGGACATTTTGGAATGTTTTTATAAAGCTCTATGAAAGTAAAGAAATTAAAAAGATGCACATAGTATCTCTTTTTAGGAGGTTAACAATTACATTTTCTAATCTCTAGAAGAAAAACGGATAATTTTTCTTGTATAAATTCCTGAATAACTTTCTGACAGAAGAACAAGTTTGTGTTCCGTGACCAATTTGGACAATGATCATTTGATTTCATTCATTGGCAATAATACAGTACCATCTCCTTCTATATACAATTCATTTGAAGCCATGAAAAGCCGGTTCACATATACTGCAGGAAACCAAAACGCATGTTTTTTGTTTTTGTTTTTGTGTACTGAAAGAATTGCAAGTGGGGATAGCATAACAAAGGTCCTAGGCATACATCTATCTGTGTGTGTTATAAGATACACAAATGTGAAGCGCAGTTTGCTTTAAAAACCCTGCGGTAACTAACATATGTGAACAAGCTTATAGTGGACATCAAAACATTGAACCCTGATGGACGATAGGTATGTCTTCATCAGCTCGAATAGCAAAATAGCCTGCTATTCCTGATTTGGGAAATAATCCTGAAGTTACAAATAGCATCTTCATCAGCTTGAGACTCGACCTCCAAATTTGAAACTCGAGCTCAGGTAATTAGCTCAAGATATTTTGCTCAGCGTTCGCGCATAGTGCAAGTCTTCGGGCTGGTGAAGATGCACCGGACAAACAGCGGGATATTTTGCAAACTAGGCCAAGATTTCTTGGGATGATCTAGACCAAATATCCCGCTAATTGCAATTCGGGGCTGATGAAGATGCAAAATTAACTGGATAATTTGCGATTGGGTTAGTTGAAATAGCGGGATATTTGGCAATCTCGAACTGATGAAAACAGGCCTATTGAATGCTTACCCTGTCATGAGGGAAGTCTTCTCTTGTATCTGATTTCCACATTCTCCAGAACGGAACGGGGATGAAGAGAAACATGACAATGAGAAAGACAGCTCCGGTGATCACTCCAAGACCCTCGGGACTAAAAGAAAACAGAGAGTAAGAGTGAGCAGGTTTTTCAAGATATGACAAGAAATGGAAAGGAAAATAAGGAAGGGGGAGAAGAGCCAAAATAGAGAGGCAGGGGAGAACATCTCCCTTGAATACAGAAGTGATTTTACTTTTATTAGTCTTTCCACATCCTCCAGAATGAAACAGGGATGAAGAGGAGCGTGATGATGAGAAAGACAGCTCCGGTGATCAGTTCAAGACCCTCGGGACTAAAATAATAGAGAAAGAGAATGTGAAAGTGATCATAAGGACCCCGTTGCACAAAACTTACCATTGATGGTAACTTAGCCATCAATGGAAAATACCATGGAAACCTAGATTTTGATTGGCTGTATAGCCCTGTTTCCATGGTAGTTGTCATTGATGGCAAAGATACCATCAAGGGTAAGTTTTATGTAACAGGCCCTCTCTTTTCAGGATATCATTAGATTCAAAGGGTGAAAGAGGTCGAAGCAGAGCAATGAAACAAAGTTGATGTGGAAAGAATGTCACATGAAGTAAAACCATTTCCACATCTTCCAAAATAAAGCAGGGGTGCTGAGAACAAGATGATTAAAAAGACAACTCCAGTGATCACACCAAGAACCTCAGGACCAGATGAAAAGAAATAGAGAAAGAGAAATAGAAAGTGATGAGATCTTTTCAGGATATCATCAGATTCAATGTTTTAGGACATTCCACTGCATTAGTCAGACCCATGCTTCTTCCTTCTTCCCAAGAACCTATAAGGATTGGAACAACCTCCCACATGACCCAGCCCAATACCCCTCTCTTGATGCCTTCAAGGTCATCTTGAGTGGGATGCAGACGCATGTCTAAAAGACTGGGAATGTTTTTACTTACACATGTATATATGCACCTGTACAACAAGAACAAAGCATTAAAATGTGGAATAACAGGATATGTGAAAGTATCCACATATACACACACAATCAGTGCGTTTATCTTCATCACCTTGAAGCAGCACTTACACTGGAAGAAGAAGAAAGTGTGAAAGAGTTCAAAGCAGAGCAATGAAACAAACTTGATGTGGAAAAAATCTCACATGAAGTAAAACCGTTTCCACATCTTCCAAATGGTGCAGGGATGCTGAGAACAAGATGATAAAGCAGACAGCTCCGGTGATCACACCAAGAACCTTGGGACTTACAGAAACAAGATAGAGAAAGAGACATTGAAAGTGATAAGAACTTAATAAAAGATATCTTGAGATTGAACATGTGAAAAGGAGGATGAAGAACAAAAAGAAAGGATGAAGGGGAGAAGACCTCCATTGAATTAAAAGGTAAAACATGGTAGAAGAAGAGCAACAAAATTGAAGAGCTTAATTCCAAAAGGAACCACATCCACCTTATTGATACCAGAACATTGTTCACTTAAGTACCCGCCTTTCAACAAAATCATTTACATAAATTTTGGGAGCAATTATGAAAAAATGCACCTTCTAATATCACTTTTTTATAGACGGCTGTACAAAATCTGGTAAACAATTTTTTTTTTCTCCGAAGTTACAAAAATGGATTTAATTCCTTCTGGAATTAAATTCTCCAAATATAGAAGGAGAAAGTATAAGGCTCACACCTTCATATAATGATGAAAAATAATGGAGAAATATGTCATCTTAATATCTTTCAATCTTAGATTGATAGGCTATTAAGATATTCCCTCATGGTTTGCTCTGATCAGTGGTTTACTTTTTGTTTTAATGGGATCGTTTAACAATGTTAAATCTGAGATACACGGCCCTACGTGTAATCAGTTTCTGTGATATGGTGTTATATTGAAGCCCTAAAAATACGGCGCTTCAAAATGATCAAGAAGTGCCTCAAAAAGTAAAAACCTTTGAACTGAGTGACCGGTTTTACCATACTCATTTCCCCCCAATAGACTGTAGAGTTATGAAAACCGTTTGGCAAACAAAAAATTTGATTTTGATTTCCAATCATAAATATCTTGATAATCAGACAGGCGATTGGCCTGTAAAAGTCATGGCATTCCTGACTGACCTAAGGTATATAATTATCATTGCAGCATGATCCGTAAGATAAAGTTACCGGATCCCTTTAATGGTTTGACCCTAATGCACTTACACTTTCTTTGGTTCTTGTCCCTTTGGTATCTTCTTACTCATGTCCTTTCCGTACATGTCAGCTGCGATGAAGAGATCATAGAACCTTGGGATGAGACGCACAGTCAGGACAAAGGCACAGATAGACATCGCAGCATTGATGTACAGAGGCCAGTGGGTTATTTGCTGTCCTTCCATCTGAATATGGTAAAAAGAGAAAGAAGAATGCACAGATACTAGAATTACTTTAGAAAAAAGGGTTCTTAAAAAGCTCATGGAGCATTTTGGTAAGCCCTCATCCCCCCCCCCCCCCAAAAAAAAAGGATTTTTTTTTTTTTCTTCTTCAATATTTCTTTATTTTATATGAGAAAAAATGAACAAACAGACATTGCAGTATTGATGTAGAGGGGCAAGTGAGTCATCTGTTAAAGAAAGAAGACAGAGTATTCATTGAAAAGGTCCTTAAGTCACATGTAGACTTCTGCCTTCTCCAAAAAAAAAGAAGAGTAAAAAAGAGTCAATGTTTTCTTTATTTTAGTAGAGGTAAGGCACAGACATATATATATATATATAGCATAGAGGCTGGGTCATTTGTTGTCCTTCCTTCTTCTTCTTCTTCGTTTAGTATTATTTATAATGGCTATTGGTCAAATTTAACTATTGTTCCCAATTTCATCGCATCTCTTTCTTTAAATGTCTTGGTAAAATTGATGTATGGTAAAGAAAAGAAAACAGAGAAGAAAAAAAGAGTATGCAAAGGATTTTATCAATCCTATTCATCATAGAAGGTTCTTAAAAATCGTTTGATGAAGTGATTAATAATCACACACTTGCATTGCTGTTGGAGAACATTTCTCATTTTCTTTTGCATGTCATATAATTTATCAATATAACTCTGAAACTTACTCATTCATTGTACAATATACTTGATTAACCTTTCATTTTTGTAAATAACTCATCAGCTTGTAATAAATAGCTTTTTTATTCATCATGGAACAGATCAACTTTCAATTAAAATTTCAACCATTCTCAAGAATTTCTCTGTAATTTTTCTGTTAACCATGCCATAGGAATGCTAGTTGTTCCAATAGCTAATTTTAATTTATGTGCAATTAAAAAATCAGTTTATATCAATTAAAATGGTGAAAATGAAAAATTAACATGTTGCATGTTGTTGACGCTTCTTCTTCTTCACATTCACACGTTAACACAGTGTAAAAAAAGGGGGGAAACAGCAAACACAATAATGAAGGTGTGGGACAACACAATACGATCACAAATTAGCTCAGCTACATTTTAAGGCATATTATGAACTGAGAAGAACAAATGAAAGGCTACCATACCTTGCTTGCGGACTAGGCAGCTTGATCGTCAGGATAAGAAGCGACTTTAACCAGAAATGGTACAAAATCAGCGGTGCGACGTGTCATCCGTATCAGTTTCTGACGAAATCCACACTTTATCAATACAAATACTAGTCTTTTTCCAGTCGCTGTTTTGAAAGGATATGCACTGAACTCTAATTTGATATAGTCGAGCAGGGTATAGCGTTTCTCGAAACCGTCATAAGTACAAGTTCACCGACATCCCATTGAAATGCGTGATAAACTTAATACACGCGTGTCAATGGGATGTCGGTGAACTTGTACTTATGACGGTTTCGAGAAACGCTGCCCAAGAAGTTGCTAGTAACTTCTTGGTTCATGTGGCTATATTGCTAGTTCTCCGCTAATCATGTCACAATGATTTTCTTTTCTTACTCGCTCTCTCAATCAAGGAAAGTATAGGGGTCAAGACAGGGCGAAATGGAAAATATTTAGCACCTTCTTCTCCCATCCAAAAATCCACCTAAAATTAAGAAATTCAAGTGACAAAAATGCCCGGCCCTCGCCCCCCCCCCCCCCACTCCGTGAACGGAGGGGTACCATGCGTGTTCCCAAACTCTCCGGCTCGTAAAATAAGAAAAAGGTCTACCCGTATTGATTTTACACACCAGACTTTTGCTGAAAGGGGGGGGGGGGGGGGGGTCGCTGGGAACACGCATAAACACCGAGTGGTGGGGGGGGGGGGGGCGGGCAAAAATGACACGAAGGAGAAATATATACATGTATATGGGAGCTAAGGATGGGCGGATCGAGAGCTGAGCATTGATCTAGCAATAATTAGGCTCATTAGTATGCTCTAGTCTAGACTCTACATTATGATTGCCTGATATTAAAGTATAAGTAGTCAAAAGAATTAAGACTTTTGTGCAACGGGTCATCACAGCCGAATTGCAACGAGTCAATAAGTTATTTTCATTATTCATCGTTATTCTTATAGTTATAGTTACTATCATCGTCGTCATCACCAGAGGAGGGATCGAAGGAGGAAAACTGAGAGAGATCGGGAAAGAAAAGGTAAAAAAAAAATGGAGATTGATGAAAGACAGAGAAAAAATAGAAGATTGTAAAGCATTCTGGGAGAGAGAGAGAGAGAGGGAGGGAGAGGGAGGGAGGGAAGGGGGAGGGTGAAGAGTGAGAGGGAGAGCCTGGAGAGAGAGAGAGAGAGAGAGAGAGAGAGAGAGAGAGAGAGAGAGGGAGGTAATTAAAGTAAATAAAAGGATCTATATATATGCATTTTCCACCGTGACCGCGAAAACCAGCCGATCAGTGCCCCCTTCAATATAGTAATGACCGATGCAAATTTCACTGGCCGAGTTATGAGTAAAAAAAAGCCCCCCCCCCCCCTTCATGGAAGTCCGTTTCCATGGTCTATTCCAGCTTCGCAATGCAAGCTATGGTAGAATCTAATTAGGCGCTTAATACGGGTGTTTCTAAGCGCACCATTGTCTGACTTAAAATTAACAACTAAAACTTATAATAAACACACAGAATATAAATCTGTTCTTTATTCAATAAATCATGCATATATAATAACAAAAATGAGATCAAACATAAGGTCAAACATTATCAAACAAACAAGGAATAAGATGGTGTGCACCTCCTCTGACCGACTCACAACTGCAGGTGCGTTTTAACTCGATCTAGTTGCCGCAGTTCATGACCCCTGGCCCAGGCCCAAGTCAGTGCGAAGTAAGTTCGTTTAACTGCGTTATGGCTCGGTGAAAGGTATCCGGAGCTGAGTAGGTCCCTAAGGAGATGACAATACTGCATGATCTGCATGCGTTTACACGCGGACATGTCTGGCCGAGGCTAAATGGCATACACCGCTTACTTTATACTCAACACTTTTCAGGTGCAAGTGCACGTCCCCGGCCTAGTGCTACCAATGCAGCCAAACTGTATATGACGTTTAATAACTTCCACAGGAATATCGTTGACTTCTGAAATAGATAAGGGAGAAATGCACTAAACGTGTGGTCGATGTCGAACTCATCATTGTCTTTACGTGACGACAAGGAGGTCGATTAGGTCTTTAACTTGGCCTTCGATAAGGTCGATGACCATGGATCTATTTCGGAGTAGGCAGCTCATGCCCAAGCTTTTGGTGGTGATATCGGGTTTGATCTTCTTGTATTGTGTGTTCGTGTTGAAACCGGCACCAAGAACTCGACCGCCAACCACAGGTATGAAAAACATAAAAACATTTAATTTGTTCCATTTTGCGTTGAAAATAATTATAACCGTTTATCATTTTGTTTACGAAATATGGTTATAGGTGAATACAAAATAAATTGTAGCTCTTAAAAATCAGTCATTATCAAATGTCATACAACAGTATCATAAATGTATGGCTACGTTTTCCCTTTCCTTATTCAGAGGCGTATACGTGGGGAGCTTGGGCGGTGACGGTGACCCCCCCCCCCCAGCCGACTGACAGAAAATAACATACCCCCCCCCCCCCCCCCTCCCGAATGCGACTAGTCCAGGCCTGGACTATAGTCACTCACGCTCGGCCGCTCTGTCTCGGACATCAATACAGCAATAGTGCAATGAGCAATCTAGAGATACTATAATGATAATATTCTATCATCATAATTCATAATGATGATTAATATTCCCAAATATCATAGTTGTGAAAAAGGGGAGAGTCTACCAATTGATTTCCCATGTTTAACCTTAGTTTCAATTGCTGTCAGTATTACGAGGTGCGTATAAAGGCATAGAGAGCGCCTTTATTTGCTGACGAATCAAATAACTCCACCGAAGCGATCGAGGCCTTGCCCTAGATTTTTGTCATACTCCTATCATTTTGCTTGAAACATGAGACGCTCTAGCTCTGACTATGTTATCTGAAGTATAGGATAGGCACAAGCGAATCAAACATCTGTCTCGATTTGTGAGAAGGCTGTCATTGTCACTTTGGAGATAACTTTAAGATTTCTGTTTTGGTTTCTCTCTCTAGTGCTCTCTCTTTCTCTCTTTTTTGTTGATTTTGTTTTATTTATTTTTCTACTCAAATATCTACACATTAAAATGACATATATAAACCATATAGTATTACGAAATAATAGAAAGAATGAATTATTGTACAAGTCTCTCTCTCTTGCTCTATATTTTTGTTGTTGATTTTGTTTTATTGATTTTCTACTCAAATATTCACAAATTAAAATGACATAATAAACCATACAGTATTACAATATATAATAGAACGAATGAATTATACAAGTCCTTGGAGCACTTGTCCACCTAAAGGCGGATGTAATTCGAGGGATCACATGCAGCGACCGAGCCGGGGGGGGGGGGGGGGGGGGAATGAAGGGGTAGGATCGTTTGGTTTTTACTTTATTCACTTCATTAAATACTTTCACTAAAAATATACAAAGGAAAACAAACATATACAAGTTAAAATATAATATATATCATGAGAATAACACAAGCGGAGAAGACATGTGGAACAAGGGGATAAAAACTAAATTAAACATGTACATTAATGAAAGTATTTGGAGACTAGGCAGAAAGGCCGGGGCTCAAAAAGTCTGCCTCCAGTGATTCTATACAAAACTAATTATATCATTTTTTTTATTATTATTTTTTTAAATAAAAGAAAAATTCCTTTCTTTCTCATTTTGTTATCTGCTATGCTAGGGGCGCGCACCCCTTATAATGTACGCTACTGGATACAAAGAAGTGGCGTCGTGATGTGAAACTTTAACCATATTCTGGGAACATTAATGTGGTTATGTTAAACAGGTTTCAATCCTATTATTCAAGCTTTAAACATACCAAATCAGGCTCGGACGCGTTGTGACTGGTAGACCTATTTCGTAGCAGATCATGACCGAACTCCCATTATAATTTAATATGTAAGTTTCCAGCGACCAAGGACAATTTAAACGAAAGTGGCAGAAACTTGATTTCCGTCTGACTGTCTGGAATCTCATTTCACCCTTGACCTGTAAACAAAACGTCATTAAGAATATAGGTCTCAGAGTGATTGCAGCAGTACAATTTATGACTATCATTAGCAAAGTGATATTACGATCATTATGATCATAATAAAAGAGAATGATAACGGTTTTCAAGATATACAGCTAACTTCCCCCACATCCCTCCGACCCGAGCCGCCCCTCCCGAGCGCATAATCGTGACAATCAGGCGCGTACGCAGGATTTTTTCAAGGGGGGTGGGGGGGGGGGGTTTTAACATTTATAAATCGGGCCGAAAATTTCGCAACGACTCAGCCAGCTGCTGAATAAGCGGGGGGGGGGGGGGTAAGAGGACACTTTTTTTTGTCTTGAAATTTGAAAATTTGACATTTTGCTCCGTTGGGGGGTGGGGGTAAGGTAAACCAAATAAAACATCCAAAGGGGAGGGGGGGGGGGGGGTTTACACACAGAAAAATACCAAAGTGGGGGGTTTAACCCCCCAACCCCCCCCCCCTCCCCTGTGTACGCGCCTGGTGACAACACCTTCCTCAACACTTTGTCTGGCTCCCCTTTCTCAATTTCAATTCAATTTCAATTTCAAATTTATTCATGTTTCCAACAAAACATTACAAATCAATTATTAGCATTTAAAACAAATTTAAGAAAAACATGTTGGAAACAGAGGGGTCCACTGAAAAGTAATGCTTGTTTCTCTCTCTCTCTCTCTTGTCTCTCTGTCTCTCTTTCTCTCTCCATCTCTCCATCTTTCAATCTCTCTCTCTCTCTTTCTCTCAATCTCCATCGTATCCCATATGTCTATCTTTATCTATCCCACCCTCTCCCTTTTGACTCCCGTTGTTCCTCGTTCCTCCTATCACCTTCTCCATCGCATTTCACTCAAAATAACATAAAACCAATTAGTATAACATTACGAAAAGAAATGTCTCATGATATTGATCAATGAAAGCGATAAGGAAGTTAGGGAAGGAACTAGAGGTCGAGTGGGTATTATGCTAGCACAGACCTGGTAAAACATTATTATTATCATTCCCAACATTACTGTACACCTGCCAAGAATGGATACCAGGAAATACAAAGACATAACAACAACATTGTATGTACCTTGGCACCATGAAGTTGTATGATCTAATGCAAGTTAACATTTAATATTTCTTTAATCTTAAGTATGTTGAATATTAATTTAAATTATTTGTATGCGCCTTGAGCATCTCTAGAGATGGATATGTTGCGCTTTATAAATATTGTTATTATTATTATTATCATTAACATCAACCTGAAAATGTATACCACAGCTGTTCTGCTATTTTGATCAAGAACACAATAATTATAATTAATAGTTATCCATCGCCCTCTTATGTCCTCAGTCTCAGGGGCGGCCGAGCGACTTCCAAAGTGGGGGGGGGGGCACCAACAAAAAAGGGCACTTTCTGGAAAAAAGGGGCACCTACATTGGGAAATCTCAAAGCGAAAATATACCATTTTTTAGACATTGGTATATACCCCTACAGTGTGATTACATTATCAGGGATGATTTCATTATTTGTTTCTCTTCATACATCATACAAAATATCGCTTAAGCATCATACTGTACAGTTGGGTGTGATGTCTGAATATGCATTTACGAGCGAGCGAAGCGAGCGAGAAAAATTTTAAAGATCTGTGAGGTCGCAGTGCGAAAATTACATCTTATAAAGAGGAAAAAAGCCAATCGTGATGGGGTTATAAGCACATTCTCATAACGGAAGACTGAAAAGACCTTTGATAAGTAACATAATTATATCATCTTTACATGCGAGCGAGCGCAGCGAGCGAACTTTGGGGGAAAATTGCTCTTAGTCGCTTTAAATAAGGGGCACGTTTAATGATTACATGAAAAGGGGGCAATTATCGAAAAGGATAAGACACTTATTAGAAAAGAAAAGGAGCACGTGTCAAAGTACAAAAGATAATTATATTAAAGAGATGAAAAAGAAAATGGGAAATAGGCATTTGTATGATTTGTTGACGGAAAGGGGGCACCCATCAGATTTTGACAAGGGCATTTATAAGAGGTGAAAAGGGGATAGGTCCCTTATTAGAAAGGAAAAGGGGCACGTATCGTTATTAAAAGGGCAATTATCAGAGGTGAAAAGGTACACTGACCAGATATGAAAAGGGGCACTTATAATAAAGGAAAATGTGTATTTGTTGAATAAGAAGGGGGCACGTTTCAGATTTTTAAAAGGGGCAGTTATGAGAAGGGGAGGGAGCTCTTTCTTTTTAAAGGTACTATGTCCCATTTGCAGGCCAAAAAAATGAAAAAGTTAAATTCCAACTGCATTTGAAAGATAATACTAATTTAGAACTTCCTTAAAAAAGTTGGGGCTTGAAAATGTCTTCAAGTGGGAAAATAACGACTATTAGTTGTCAAATTGACTTTAGGGCTATAGAGCCCCAAAGTAATAGTCTTGATTTTCAGACAATTGTACCGAATGGTCATACGTTTTATGCTGCGCAAAGATTAAATCAGTTTAATCTTGGCTATCACAAGAAGTGGGTTATTGATGTAGACAAATGCTCATGTATACCCTTTACAACTCTTTCCATGTATGTTATTACCAAAGAAGAAAAAAGCCAGTCACTCACTCAATAGTGTCTGACAGTGAAGTCTAGCAAGTAAACGGGTTTCCTTGCATAATTTGAATATGAGGACACTGCTAACGTTTAAATTTCACAGATAGGACATAAATGATATATTCATAATTCCTGCAAAGTTCTACAGCATTTGAGGTTGGCTGCAAAAGGGACATAGTACCTTTAATGGGGGCACTTATCATAAGGAAAAGGGGCACTTATTAGAAAGGGAAAGGGGTAGTTATGAGAAGGGGAGGAGCTCTCTCTTTTTAATGGGGGGTACTTATAAGGAAAAGGGCACTTATTAGAAAATAAAAGGGGCACATGTTAAAATGAAAAGTGTGCTCATCGGAGTTTAAAAAAAAGGGGTAGTTATTAAAAGAAAATAGAGGCACTTCTTACAAAGGAAAAAAGGGGCAGTTGTCAAAGTAAAAGGAGCACCTTTCAGTTTTGAATAGGGCAATTATCAGAGGTGTAGGGGCACTTATCAAAAGTGAAAAGGGACACTTCTCGTACCTGAAAAAAGGCACTTACTAGAGATTAAAAATGGCACTTATTCAAGACAATTTCAAAATTGATGAGAATGGAAAATGGACACTTATTGCAAAGGAAAATGGGAACATGTCGAAGGAAAAGGGGCACGTGTCAAAAATAAAAAGGGCACTCGTCAGAGGTGAAAAGGGGGAAGGGGCACGTTTACTAAGTAATAGGGACACTTGTCAAAGTAAAAGGGGCACTTTTCCTATGTAAAAAGGGGCACTTTTGGGGTATCTGAAAAAGTGGGGGGCACTGTGCCCCCCCCCCCTGCCCCCCGGGAGGGCCGCCTCTGCTCAGTCTGACCAGTGCACTTGATTTTAGGCCACCTGTGTATTTCCCCCTACCAATTATAATATTGGATTTGATGACAATTTAACAACGCTGTTTACCTTATCTCATACTTTCACCCCTCCCTCCCCGGCCCTCCCTCCCTCCCTCCGTCTCTCCATCCCTCTCTCACTCCATTCTTCCCTTCCTCCTCGATCCCCTCCTGCCCTACCTCCCTGCCTCCCTGCCTCCCTCTCCTCCCTCCTTCCCCTCTCTCCATAATAAATTCCAGTAGGCACAGATCAGAGTTGTTCGGTATACCTTCTTGTTTTGACGCTGCATGATGTGAATTGACCTTAATCCAGACCTTCGTCGACCTTACGTGACCTTGCATCTTCATGGAAATGAAAATAACATCTGTTTCCTCTTTTAGTCTACCCGCGATCCGAAGCAGTGCCGAGGCATTGCCTCTCTGATTTCCAGGTGTGATGTGTTTAAAGGGGCTGGTTGAGCTAGCTAGGGCAGAGGGGTGGATCGAGTAGCGGGAGGGTCGCAACAGGGGGGCAGAGGGAAGGAGGAGGAGTTAAAGAGGAGGAGGGGGGGGGGTCTGAAAGCGAGCGAACAGAATAAGAATAATTATAGTCAGTGTAAAGCTTTTAGCTCCGTGTAACTTGACTGTTGGTTGGATTAATTTACGATCATTCAAATGCAATACAAACATCATAACACATAAAGAAACAAAATAAACAAACATTATTTAACATGGACTATTCTAGAAAATAGATATTAAAATTAAAAGGATGATCGAAGGATCACCCGCTTCAGATCAACGTACATAGACGATCTGTTCGTAATTAATAATTAATCAATGATTTAACAAAATCTTGAAACAGATTGCATACATGAGTGAAATCATAACAACAACAACAATTTATACCCAGAAACTACACCACCCACCCTTTCCCAAAGGTAATTTTGATTTAAGTTTTATGGACGGATCTGTAACTGTAATTACCCACATCTTTTTTTTTCTCTCTCTCTCTCTTTCACTCCTGCTCTCATTATCATCATAGTCAGTCTCTTTATATTGATGGTATTATGACTTTATCATGCCAGTGGAGACCAATGTTTTGTGTTTAAAAACATCATGATAACAGTGGGTTCTTTAGGGAAAGTTAGCGCTCATGACTTTTGTATATATGTCAAACTTGACACACGTGGCGCTCTACAATTTTATTTGAAACCCCGGCTTTAGCATGGCTGACAATTATGCCACCCTCGTATTTCAAGGAATTAATTCCTGCCTACCATTTACCTCACCTATAGGTGGAGGTGTAGTGCTGCGACAGGGATTCGAACCCCATACCTCATGGTTCACCATCCACAGACTTATCCACTGTACCACAACACCTCCAATACGGATTAATGAATATAATTTAATCTGAAGCTGAATCTAATGTGAACTGTCATCTCCTTTCCATTCCTTATCCATCTTCTGAACTTTGAGCGCCCAAGCTCCTGTACACGTTTCTTTGCCACACTCAACCCAGGTGATGTCAATGAGTGCCTGGCAGGAATCTCCCTCTGTGCCTCAGAATAGTTTACTAGATCGATGGAGCATAATAAATGCTGTATTATGTTGTTGTTTTTTGCAATTAAATATATATTTTATTAAAAATAATCATTTCAAAATTATTCTCGCTCGCTATCCAGGAGAACCCGTGGATTGGCAGCATCTACCCCCTAAGCCTCAGTTCCCAAAACACGAACCCATCCCGCTCCCTTCTCCCACACCAGTCTCCCCCGGAATGATCAACCGTTTCAACCAGGGCCTCGACCCGGCGCTCTTCACGACAAACCGGACCATCGATGACGAGCATACGCGGGACCGGTTGTACCGCCAGCTCCAGATCGTGACCGCGTTCTCTCAGAACCATTACAAGGAGGCGTTGGGTCTGATTGGGACGGTCCAGAAAGAGATGCCGGATAAAAAGCTCTTGATTTACGATCTAGGGATTGATCCAGATACAAGATTCAAGGTATACATGATTGTGCATGGGTCTGTCCTTTCCACTGGCAAGGGACGGAGCAGGACTTTGTACATTGTATACAATAGGGTGATGTAAATGGATGCCTGGCAGGAATTAATTCTTGAAATGCTAGAGCACCGTAACGACAGCGCGCGGTGCAAATTATAATTTTTGTTGCTGATTTAAAAAAACAATTACAAGCAAATTAAAAAAAAATATCGGATTTCTGGGTTTTTTAAAGTTTTTTTTTTTTTTTTTTTTTTTTTTTTTGGGGGGGGGGGGGAGCCTTTGAAGCCCAACACAAAAATGAAGTTAAAAATAAACTATTAATCCGTCTTGCTCAGCTTATAAGACTGGCAAAATGGGCTCCGAGGCTTGAAAATGTAGCCCGAGTCCACGGCCCCCAATCGGACGAGGCACCCCTTCTGTGATATATTCGACCTTCTCAACAATCTCTTTGGGTCATTATCACAAAGTGAATTTTTTTCTCCATTGTTTAAATGCTTTACTATGTTCTCTACTGTCACAGAAGGTTGTGTCTATGCACGTGCATGTGTATGGGCGGGAGGGGGGGGGGGAGGGGTCCATTCTTGTATTCTAACATCTAACCATAAACTATTATTTTGTAAACCGAGAAAAGACTAATTTTGAATCTACTTTAGATTACGAATTCCCTTTAGTATTTTTAGTACCATATCAATATTTTCTAAAAAGTGTTCTGTTCTACGTTTTGTTTTAATATTATTATTATTAGGTTAAGAAGCTGTGTCATGTTGAGTTGAGGAGTTTTCCTTTCGATGAGTACCCACCACATGTCAAGGATCTGCACACATACGCCTGGAAAGTCATCATCATAAATGTAAGAGAAATTACTTGCTAATTATTCATCAATTAATCATAATCATAATTAATCAAAGATACAATTTAGCTATATATCTCTTAATAAACATTTTTCAATAATCTTTTCAAATACTGTAGCCATACTTTTGAATATTAAATCATATTCTCGACGCGATTTGATTAAAAAACATATAGACTATCATATAGACTGCTTATGCTACGGTCACAAAGTTTAGTACGAACGATAATTTCGTACGATTCTCCTTGTTTTTCCATTGTCTTCCCGAATTTCCATTGTCTAAAAATCGTCCGTACGGCGTTCGTAGCAGTTCGTAATGGCATTTGTGACCGAGGCTTTATTATACGGTAGACCTGCAGATTATAAGAATGTGCCATCAGTTTATCAATTTTCGTCTTTCCTTTTCTCTTTAATGTTTTCAGACGACTCTGCACGAATTCGGTTCTATATTCTGGGCGGACTCTTCTATTCGCTTCAAGACATCGTTACGTCATCTCATCCCCTACGTCACACGTCACCATGGATACATGACACATTTTCACTCATTCGATCCCCGTGGAACCCAAGACACGCCAAAGGGCCACATTTATTACTTCACCTATCCAAAAATGTTTCTCGCTCTAGGAATCAAACGAACTGACTATTTTGCGTCACGGAATGTTCCCCCGCATGCGTCAGCGAACAGACAAATCTTTATCGGGAATCCCCTTTTGCAGACAAAGTTGGTTGACCCTTATTGCGATGCGCGCTTGATCGCGCATGTATTGCGCCGTCGGGCGCGCGTTTGGGGAGGCACCGTTTCGATGCTTCTGCTTTGTCGTTACTTTTGTATAAGAACATGAGGGGCGAGTGGTCAGAAGCGAACAATGACAATACAATTTTCGACGAAGTTGTTGATATTCGACGAACTACAATAGACTGGCATTTAGCTCATTATTGTGAGTCGACCCAAAACGATAAGTTATAAGCCTCCTGTGGACTTTTTATATATTTTTAAATTAATTAATTTAATTTTAACCTGTGGAATGCGCATTATCTTGTTTTGTTATCAGTTATGATGGTCAATAATACGTTCTTCAAGACGATGCTAAGATAGACACACTGTGGTCTGAAAGTACAGAGAGTCATCGAAAGTGAGAATACTGAAGGAAGAACTACATACAGAAAACTGAAGAAAGAGAGACTAAGGCAATTATTATTATCTCATGCAGCAGCGAAAAATGCTTTGCAGTAGCTGCATCAAAGACTTGGAACAGCATCCCTCTTTCCATAAGGGAATTAATTACCTGTCTTACCGCCTTCAAAACCCACCCTTTTCCCCAATGATCATGAAATACTTCCTGTACTGTACATTTTTGTCGTCTTTTCATAAATTTGTATTGTTAGCGCTCCTAAATATTCGATATCATTATTATCATTATTATTATTATTATTATTAACAACAATGTAATAATCCAATCCAAAAGATATTTGACATAGCGCCTTTTCCTTGCAGTTACAAAACGCTGTGCATGCACACACGCACCACAATTTTTGGGCCACTTAAAAACAAAAGTTAGACACTTCTCAGAGAAGTAGGCTCATAATAAAGTAATTTCTTGCAGAACTTATAGCTGTGACTTGAGTAATAAACCAGCTTCGCATAACCGAGACAGTATACCCTGAAACATTGCAATTACGAAGCACGATGCCAGTTTTGCAAGCATATTTCTGGAAGCTGTGGACTCTTTTTTCACCTCTCTAATTTTAGCTCCGAATTACACTGTAGAAGTCACAATTGTGATAAGCAAAACTTGTTGTATATAAGAGCCAAATGTTTGTTGGTAATCAAAATGCTGATGTCCAATTAAATTACAATTATAGTTTTCATCTTTTTCAATTAATTTATACTTTGATAAGTCCTTGATAAGATACATTTATTTTGCAAAGCAAAAATATCGATTTTATAAAATGAAAATGAATTTCTTCTAATCATCAAATCAAATTATTCTGTCTGTCATAGGCTTACTAATAAAATGAACGATGGCAATTTCTTTTATGTTTCTTTTGTGTGCGTGGGGGAGGATGTTTTGTTTTTGTATGCATGGGAGAGAGAGAGAGAGAGAGAGAGAGGGGGGGGGAGGGGGGAGGGGGTCGGGAGGCAGCCGCTAGTAGCCGGGAGTGAAGGGAGAGAGAGAGGAAAGAGAGACTGAGAGATTTAAAAACAGAAAAGTGAGAAAAAGAAAGTGAGAAGATAGAGAGATAGAGAGAGAAATGGGAGGGGGGGGGGGGGGGTCGGCGGGAGCGAGCTAACGCGCATAAAGAAAGGGTGCGATTGTTGTTGTTGGGTTTATCGGCGCTATCCATCGATTCCGATGATTTCCGCCAGGCTGTGTGTGAGGGCGTCTTGCTCTCACTTCTGCTGCTCTACGTTTCTGTGATTCTGATACTTGCCCAGTGTGTGAGATAAAGATTTACCTTGACCTTTGTTATTGGCGAGGTGCAAGGTTATGGAGTATTACTGTGCTCTTTACTCATTATTTGTTAGTCATTTAATGTTAGAGCTGGTTGGAATTACTATCATGAAGTTTTGGTGTCAATAATAGAGTTAATGATAAAAAAGGGGTCTTATATATTTTAATAGTAGTATGCGCATTTAATAATCGGCTGCCATCATTAATTTTATTCAGGCTTCGTATGTCCATCAACTCTTCCGTCACTCTGTTACTTTTATGCCTTAAGGCATGAACAGCACAAGAATGATAACAACACAATGCTATAATACACTTTATAATTCTCTATATCTTCCAGTACCTTTTATAAAGGCTAAAATGATTGAGCAGTTTTCTGCTTTTCAAAGTAGGTTTTTTAGGTTAGGATTCGTCACAATGAAGTCTGCGATAGGCTACATATACGATTCCTCTGTCTTTCATAATTATTTAGGGCATGATAACATACAATGTTCGATAGTTTCGAAAATGTGACAAAAATTATCGTCGCAAAGGCCCGTATCATGCCTATTTATTGAGAAATTGTAATAATTAAGTCTACACTTACCAAGACGGAATTGGTGTCAAATTCTTTCATCCTTACGACAAAAAACCTTTAATCATACACGCATATTTTACATCTCGTTGTATGTTGTAGAGAAATCTGCCTTTCTCGGCAGTTTCCCATAATTTCTGCCACTCAGTTTTGTAAAAGTCATTTATATAATTCACTCAAAAAATTCTTGTCTGTTTTTATTGACAAAAATGTCTATATTGTTCTTGGAAGCCTCTTGTTTAGCTAAAGCGTCTGCCTCCTCATTGCCTGCTAGGCCACAATGTGCTGGAACCCATTCGAAATGTACTCTTATTCCAAAAAGATTTATTGTCAATAGTTTCCCAGGATGTTCATTTCCCACTTATAGCAGGCCTAATACATGACAAAAGGAATTTATTAAGTTCAATTATTTTACCTATCATTCGCTATTGAATCCTCAAAATAGAAATAGGCTTCGTGTTTACTTTCCTAAGTATCACTGGCGTACTGGTTGGGGGGGGGGGGGGGGGGGAGCTTGGGGGCTGGCGCCAGCCCCCCCCAAAAAAAAAAAAAATAAATAAATAAATAAATAAATCCAACCATTATTTTCAAAATTCCATACAAGCGATTAATTAATGTTCGTGATATCAAATGATTTTCAACAAAATGCGCGTTTCTCCATTTTTGTTGCAAACTGACACATTCCCAAATAGCCAGGAAGAGAAAATGTTTTTATAGTCACTAATGTGACACTTACAGTAAACTAGTAGAAAATTCCTTTCCAGAAGCTACTGCGACAAGCACTATACCCACCACTCGGGCTGTGCATGCACAGATTTCCGAACGAACGTTCGAGACGTACATCACTGCACGTGTACCGGTAAGGGCGCAGTGGGGAAACTGAACTCAGAGAAGGATTAAAAGTATCTGCAACGAATCGTCTTCTTAAATGAAACGGCAAAGGTTCCGCGCTTCGCGCGGGAGGGGGGGGGGGAACTGAATTCAGACTAGGATTGAAAGTAGAAAACGGTACAACGAATCGTCTTCTTGATTTAATGCCAATGAAACGGTAAAGCTTCCGCGCTTCGCGCGGGAGGGGGGGGGGGGTTGCAACTGAATTCAAACAAGGACACGATACAACGAATCGTCTTCTTTCTCTAATAATTTAATAAAACGTGAAAGGGATGGGCGAAAATGAATTTAGACAATGATTAAGAGTAATAATTTAATGAAACGTCAAAGCTTCCGCGCTTCACGCGGGAGGGGGGGGGGGGGCTGAATTCAGACAAAGACACGATACAATGAATCGTTTTCTTTCTCTATTGATTTAATGAAATGTGAAAGCTTTCGCGCGGGATGGGCGAAAACGAATTCAGACACGGATTAAGAGTAATGAATTTATTGAAACGTCAAAGCTTCCGTGCTTCGCGTGGGAGCTTGGGGAGGGGGGGGGGAGAACTGAATCCAAACAAGGATTAACATTCGAGAACGGTACTAATTAATGAAACGTCATAGCTTCTGTGCTTCGCGCGGGAGGGGCGAAACAAGAATTAAGAGTCGAGAACGTTACAACGGATCGTCTTCTTTCTCTAATAATATAATGAAGTGTCAAAGCTTTTGCGCTTCGCGCGGGAGGGGTGAAACAGAAAAATAACTTAGTTCCGTTGGCCCAGGTTAATAGGGTTAAATTTGTAGACATTTGGACATGGGCATAAATATATTTGTCGGTAATTAATTGGTAATCGGTGGCTTCTACACGTACCCCCCCCCCTCTCCCCCACTGAAAAAGGTCTGGCGACGCCCCTGATAAAAAAACATTTTATACACTCAAGATAGTTTTTGCAAGTACTACTGGTGAAGTACCGGGCCACCGTCTTTGTGCATTATGCAGCAACGAAGCATATACAACGTCTCACGACGTGACATATCACTTTTCTCTAACTTCTAATCAAACAGAGAAGGCCTCATGTTTGTTTTTTAGGGAAGTGCCGGTGGACAATAATGCGCCAAATGTGGTTCTCAAATTGCAAAAGATCCCTACTCTTGCTTGGAGGGGGTAGGAGAAAGCAATTTTACGTCATATTACTTCAGGGAATGTCTCCCTCGCCGCTGAAGCCTCGCTCTGTCGCTTCATCGTTTTACATATATTTCACCCCGTGCCATGTTGTGCCCCCCCCCCGGTAAGAAATTCCTGGATCCGCCACTGATGCCCATACCCCTTGAACTTCGGGGCTCCACCCTTGACCCCCACCGGGGCTTTACACCTATAGACCCCACTTTAGTTGAAAAAAAGTTCAGCGGGGCATGCATGTAAGAGAGGGGTAATGTGGATTTTTTTTTTGTCAGCCCCCCCCCCCCCCAAAAAAAAAAAGTTTTTGCTCATTACGCCACTGCTACATGTAGGTATAATAGGAAAAACGTTACGCTACATAGTATGCAACTATAGCTTCTTTATTCAAAACAGTATTCGGCGAAAGCCAAATTTTATGACGTTTCCAAAAAGTAGTATAATATTTGCTAATATCCATAAGGTCATCCGATTAAACTGACTGATCTATCATAACGTAGAATTAATCCCCAAGCTCCGCCATTCTGTCCGGATCCATTACATTAGAAGCCAAAATAAGTCCTTGCATAATTCATGAGCCTTATGAATTATGCATTCTGTAGGATGCTCCCCGCGAAAAGCGTTCTTTACCATGTTCACTACATGGCAAAAGACAATACGCGTATCAGCGTAATGACAGAGGTCAAATAATCTACTGTACGGAATTATGGGTAATTTATTCATCACGCTGCGCGGATTATTCTCGTGCGATCACCGTTAGGTACCCAGGATGCATCTGGGAAGTGGACCTTAAAGATCCACTCGTTGTTGTGTTATTTGAGTTGTAATGACATGTATCATTCATTTATGAATATTTACGCCAACTAACTTAAACATCATTACACCTCTACTTATTAATATTCTAGCATTAGATTTTTCTGAAAATCTCTTTATTGACTAAAAAAAGATAATAACCATCCATTTTCAACTCATTCTCTGGCTATGATTATACATTTTAAATATGCTAATGTATTAAGTTTCCTTAT